GCCCAGCAGTGGGATATGTATAGGCTGATACTTTTATACTTTACATAAAACAAGTACCTACACATTTTTTTAATTAATAAACATAAAAAAAACAACGGTATAGTAACGGTTTTTGTCTAATCTATGTGCGGAGAACATCCGTCTTTCGTCTCCGTTTTGCTACCTCTTTCTTTGTTTTTTAACCTCCACACATTAAATAATAAGGAAAATAATTGAAATTTACTAATAAATCGAAGATATATTGCATTATTTACATGACATGATTAATCCATTGTCATTGAAAGAAATTGGTATTCTTTTCTAGTCTCATGTACTTAGGCTGATTTTTTTATAATGTTCAAAAGATATTTTCGGTCGCCTTGATCGTTTTTAGTTATTATCACTTGAAATGTTCCATTAAATTGCAACTTGTGTAAGAGTTCTAACGTTTTTACTTAGATTCTAATATTATACTATTTTTGAACTTGAATATTAACAACTATTCAACGACAAGCAGCACTAGTGGTCCGGGGACGCAGCTGAAAAGCAAGTGACTAGTCTTGTGTCGGTCGCGAACGATGAACGATTAGGAAACGTTCCTTTGCACTATACTAAAAGAAACGTTTCCGAATGATATATGTTAATCGGTCTAACAGCTCTTTCGTTCTTTCCATACATCTACCAACACAATTCATCGGAACGAAACGAACGAACGCGACTGAGCACTGAGATAGAGAGAGAGAGAGAGTCAATCGGTGACCGGTGAGCGGTGACCGAGTAAAAGAGTATATCTTTACTTTAGCTTAACGACGCGAAAAGGCGGGAGACTCGTGTTTATTGTCTATACAGGGTGGCTTTTCTAAGTGTATCCATTGTTTTTACTGAATTCTAGATTAAAATAATGTTATATAAAAATATAATATGATAATACAAATATAATAATATAAATATTTAAAATCACTCGTAATTAATTAATTACATTCATTTGAACTTATCTCAAAAAGTGCGTGATTTATACGCAACTCGTTTATTTTACGTGCGATCATTCATAACTAACACGCACACAATTTCGTGCACAGTAAAATTTAGGTATTTATGAATGACTACCTCATTGTCAACACGTTCCGTTTGTTAGGGAATAGAATGGCATTTTATTGGGAAAAAAAAAACTGTTTTTTATTTCAATAAACGATGATATTACAGAGTCTGAACCTCCTGTGTAAATTTGGGCACTTCTCAAAAAATCTCCCTGTATAATAAGTAGGTACATAACTAATATTATCGAAAAAGTCAAATTTTGTAAGATAGTTAAAATATAGTGGTTTGTACTTTTTAAATATTAAATATGGTTTTGTAATTTTTTTATTTTCCCATACTGTGGATAATTAAGGTAAGTTTCAAACGTTGTAAAATTTAAATTTATGTAAATTTTTATTTTTTGTGTTAAAGTAAATAATTTTACTGTGACTAACATTATTCTTATTTTTTTCTTTCGTTTCTTGATCAACTCATTACTATAAAATATGGTCTAATATTTCGATCCATATTAAGTGTGCGTGTTTGTGTACTAGGGACTTTGTTTAATGTCTTTGTCTTTGTTTAATTTAGATTAGCATTACATTCTAGGTGATATATTTATCTGCAAAAACCCCTCTGCAGGTAAAGGCCTCCAAAGATTGCTAGTCTTCTCTAGATTGAGCTACTTGAATCCAGTTCGAGCCGGCTGTTTTTTGAGTTTGTCTTCTCAACGAGCTTAAAACTTCACCATGCATCCATCGATAGATTTTCGCCTCGAGTCATTAATTTCATTGGTAAATACTTCGTGCAAATCAGTGATCATTACAAAATATATCACTTGAGTAACGCAGTTCATATCTGGTGGCCATCCATCATTGTAGGTACAACTAAATACTGTGGTGTCCCAGAAGTAAAGAGAATGAAAATTTTTTTAATGAAAAATTGTATGTCGACTGTTATGTGTCATTATAAATAATGCATAATAATAATAATAAATGTATATCAAATTTGCTCCTGCTGATGCCTTTATAGCCCATTTTTCTCAAATTAATGCTTGCACGTCTCATGACTGCTTTTCCAGAAGTTATTGCCACCCGTTTGGCTAATCTAGCCCATCTTTGTTTGAAAGATGTCAACGTTTTTGATTTTTCTGAATACTTTATATACTTATTCCTTTTTACACCGAGCCCAAAACATTTCGTTACCTCGAGCTTGAGGAATATTTGGAGCATTGTTTTGTTTTGATATGAATTCGACGCCTATAGATTGCAAATATTGACTGACTTCGATTCCATTCGAAGAACTCTTAACGATCCGGCCAGAATACAATGACTTGCCTCTGATAATATTTTTCTATAAACGGTATTAATCGCTTCATAATACACTCTCGATGATAAATTTGTGCGTTCATAGACCGTGTACAGATAAATGATTCGGAAACATTGGTGTTTTCGTCAATAGCTTGCCAAACCAGATAGGTACTTTTAAAAAATTTAGCTTTTGTTTTAACTTTTTCGCTGTAATCCACCTCACCACGACTGGTAGCGTGGAAATATTGCTTCCCAGGAATATCAGAGGGGTCAACCGGTACATAAGTTTCATCATCAATTATGAGAATTTTTTCAGAGTTTTGTGATAAACTCGACGGCAACCTCGCTTAGCACGCATTTCTTGATCTTTCACGTACTTTGGAGCGGACAATTTCACAAAAGCCTTCATGCCCAGATCTTGAACTTTAATTCTGGATATGCTTGACTTAGATATTTTCAATTTCTCTGACGCAGTCCTAACAGATGTTGAAGGTGCTTCTTTAAAAACCTTTTTTACCTTATCTATGTTTCGATCAGTTACTATGGTACGTTGTCTTCCCGGAATCTTCTTAAAATCAGTCTCTCCTGATTCTTCATACCATTTAATTATCCTGTAAATACTTGTTCTTAAAGCCCCTTCTTGAGAAAAATGACAAACTGCCTCGGATTTCCCATTATTCAGATAGTACTGAATTACTCTTTTTGCAAACGATTCTCGTTCGGTTCGCTTCATGTTAGAAAAACATCGACACTATTTTGCAAAACCACGCGAATTTGACAAATTTGTTACCATGGCAACACTTATTTTCTTTTTTGAAAACCTTTTTCTTGGCCGATATGAACACTCAGTTTTGTCTCTTTACTTATGGGACACTCTTTAGGCCTTGATTTTTCCGGTCACCTAGCTCCCCTAGCTCCAATAGTGACTGTTTTTTTAAATTATTTTATATTTTTTCCACAATATCTTCAATGATAGCTTCGGTAAAAATTGGCTGTGTGTATTTGTAAATTGCAAACGTGGCTTAACCAACATTATAGCGTTGGATTACATACCCTTGATATTTCCCAAATGATTGCCATGCATGCACACTTCAACCACATCATCTCAGAAGTAGCTCTTGTTTCTCATCGTAATTCTAGCTATAAATTGTCCTACAGAACGTAAAATGTGCTATTAAATCCTTTCTACTTTTAAAGGTGTAGGCTTCCTACTAGATATGTACTTATAGATATGAAAAAAATCACTATTAAATTTTTGTTTAACAAAAAGAAAACAAAGCGCTGAAAGTGATTTTAAGCTATTTAGAAGTAAGACACCAGTCCCCTATATGTCACCTATCGATAAATGGAAATGTGATAAAAATTAGTGCAAACATTCAATAAAGGCAGCTTCGTTCTCCTTTTAGATTCACGGTTGGTAAATGCAGTATTGCGAGTTATTATTACAAATTTCTTATTAAACATGGAGGTTAACAAAAAAACGGAAATAAGCTGTTATAAAAGAAATCCTATCCTCTCAAGAAGAGGTTGATTTGAAATGTCGCGTCTACGTGACGGCCGGAACCGGGCGCGTGTTGCGGAAACTACGCTGCGAACGTCATCATTTCACTTTCATTTTATCAGTATGGGAAATCCTCCTATAACAGTTCATGCGCTCGTATTGTTTTGTTACAAATGTTTTTATGTAATATGATAAATATATTTAAGATTATAATTATATAATAAATATATTAATCATATATAGGTAATTTTAACTTTTAATTGTGTATGTATAATTTAAAATAAATGTAAATTTTTAAAGTTGTTTTGTTAAAGCTTTTGTTACTGACAAATTATGTTTCATGACCGTTAATTATATGCCGAGCGCGAATTATACCGAGCTGTGCTTTAGAAGAGTGTGTTACAAAAGCAAACGAAATAAATTTTCAAATTACTACTATCACTAAAGTGGAAAATGAAGTGTCCTTCTGTTTAAACATTAGACAAATGTCAGCTCTTTCGAAATGTATATGGAAAAGGCTTGGATAAACATTTCAAGCAAAGTTCCAAATATGTTGTAAGTGCAAAATATTTTGGTGTATAATTTAGCTTTATTATTTTATGAAATATTATATGATTGAACATAGTCCGTTATGTGGTAAAAAGATGCAGTTCGATAACCTACAAGGTATTTTAAAGCTATCTTTACAAATAAATACGTTGTATGCCAAAGAGTGTTACGCCAATACATGTCCAAAAACGTATGTGTAGATTATAGAATAATGTGTATACATAATGCATGTTATATCATCGTTATTACAGTACATAGCTTTATTATATGACGCAAAAAAATGGTCATCAAAACAATATAACCAATAATAACCCTGCCTCGCTATACCTTGAACGTTGCCAATGGGTAGCTAATGAGTCAATGGTTGACACAGGCAACAGGCACAGTGGTGGGGCTTGGGGGGTCCGCACATTAGGTTTTCGGTTCGAGGAGAAAGTATGTGGTGGTGGACGAAGACCCCGGCGCGGTGCTCAGCGGATTCCGCGCGGCCGCGGCCGACAGTCGGCCTGCGATACGTTTGCGAAATAATGCCATTGAGTCGCCGCCGAAATTGCCAGTGACCGCGGCGCGCCCGGGATGACGCGCGAATAAATAGTGGCGGCAGGCAACGTTTACAACGCGCTCTCAGCTTCGGCTCTCCGACAATGTGCGGATGGAGGATAGTGGCTGTTCTTTATGTGCTCCTGGTTATTAAACCGATTAGCGGCAGGGAGATAAGCTTATCGGACGCCTCCACCGGTGACAATCATGTAAGTCCTTATCTGTTATAGCAGTATGCAATCAAATTAGCAGCAATTAATTTTTATCGACTTTTTTTAGTATGTTATCACAATAAAAAGTATCGATAAAATTTAATTGTTTGAGAAGATAGATGGTTTGTTGAAACCACACTGATAAGAAGACAGTCAATGTATACGTAACATTAGTGCATTGACACGATGCATGCACTTTTACTTTCTGCGGTTACCCTCGCTCATGCTGTGTAAGTATAATATGAAAAGGTTCACATTAAAGCGACGACCTACCGTTCGTAAAAAAGACAGTATATATATATATATATTGTTGTTGTTGTTTTTATATATTATTTAAAATATAATATAAAATATAATTTAAAAAATAGTTATTTTGTTACGAAAATGTGTTAATACCATTGACAGACATAAGACACAAGACAAAAATAATTAGAAACTCTTAAACTTAACGCCTAATTATGCCAAAATATTGGTTATACCTTAAAATAATAAAAAAATGCGTGTGTACAATGTATATTGCAATTTGTAACAACCACCGTCTACTCCGATCACTGTTATTTTTTTTAATTGTCGGCACCCTCGTTTTTCTTATACAAATAGTTGTTGGATAGATATATAAGTGGGGATCTTAATATATATATAAATAAGGTACGCTTCAAGAACGTAACCTATCAGTTTGAAATAAATAAATTTTGAACCTAATTTACGAATAGTAATGTTTTAAATGTCTTGTGTCACTGTACAAACAAATAAAAATGTGAGTTCCATTCATAAGTTAATTATTGTCAAAATTGAATTTTGTACTCAGCATAATGGCGGATTTCCTTAGTGTTAAATATCATATTTTTTTTTCCCTCAATCTATACGATGACGAAAAGTTTTACTTGGTAATTTTTGTTTCGGTTACGTTTCTCTATCAATTTAAAATATTCGTATACGAAAAACGAACGTGCCGATAGTGTAAGCAATCATTGGCTTAATTTTTTTCATTATTATCATTATGACAAAGAAGCTCCGTTGATAACAAATACGTTATGTTGTATTTAGGGTTTTGTTACAAATAAAAAACCGCTATAGCGTTTAATCATCGTTAGAATAATCTAATAACTGTGTTGTAACGTTATTCAAACGATGATTAAAAGAATTGCTGTTAAATAAATATTTCGTCGTTCATATTTGCACGCTATTCCGTTAAAAAGTCGCATAAATATTCATAAAACATTTCTCTTTTAAATTTTCTCGAAATAGTTTTTATATCATTTGTTATTTTTTTTTCGAATATAATCCAAAGATGGATTTAAATTCATAGTGATTTTTATTAAACGAATGAGATTTTGAAAGTGTGTAATGAAGACTAAATTATGTAGTACCTATGCGTTAGAAAAATTCTCATTACTTCTCTCTTTTGAAAGACAGGTGCCTATTAACCTTCACTCGTTCGAATTTGACTATGATGTCAAAATTACAACCAACTTAAGCGAATTATAATGATATGAAAGTAATAATTGTATATCAATCAGGTGGACTTGTACTACTTTCGCCTGTTACGAATATTGTTACGTAACTCATGAGCTATTAAGATGTGCTCTATTTTTTTCTAAATAACCCCACGAAATCCGACGCACCTTTATTCTGTCTATTTTTTTTCAATTCTGTACAAACCGTAAAAATTTAAATTTATTTTTACTATAAATTCTCGATTTTCCGATTGTTTATGACGTAAGAGATATTTGATTGTGAACCATATTACGAAATGCATTAAAATCTTCGGTCGTACGTAATACGTTCCTATTGCATTTAATTGACACACACTCGAATCTGCACTTTACGTATTTATGTAACAGCCACTGTGTCCGGTTCCGATATTTTGTGGTCAAAACGCTGGTTGTGTGGAACGGAGCACGCAAAATTATGCGAAATTGTGTTGCGGTGCGTAAGAGGTTTGCGGTTGTTTTTACTTCATAGATACTTGTTGATTTTAATAGCCTTCATTAGGAACTTGCTATTTTTGATCTAGATTTATTAGCCATTGTTCGTTTTTTTTATTTTTTTCGAAAAATTTCGTCGTCTTGAGTTGTCTATTAAATAACTTTTATATTGCCATGTATATGTTTATCATTTAGTTTATAAAGTTTATAAGTTCAATAATGAGTAACTGCTTCGTCGGTATAACGTAGTGATAATCAGGTTCCAGATATATTTTTCGAGTTGTTATAGCTAATTTTAACAAATTAATAGTAAAACACAGCCAAACAGTTATTCATTTATAGATATTACAATAGTTGCAGCAACAGACATGCGTATAGACATTTTATGAAGAAACAACAACCATCACCTTGGTCACTTTTTGCGTTTTTAAAATATTCTGTAAATTTAACCTACCTCGCTAAGATAAGAAAATAAACACTGATTAGTTTTTAACATGTTGTCAATTTGAAAGATATACCGCCTAATGTCTGAAATATATACGTTTTTATAAGGTCTTGTTATACTAATAGAATTAACTTATCTCTAAACTATAGCATTCAGTGGCAGCTGAATTTTTATTCTTGTTTTCATTTCAAGACATGTCTATTTAAGTCGATGACGCTTGATAACCCTTCTAATACGAAAGCAGATAATTTATTAGTTAAATACTTATTTCTATATTTTATATGCAAATATCCGCACCAGGAGCCGGCTCCTTGTTCAATAAACGACGACGAATGGCAGAAACGAGAGTGCCACAACAATTGCCACGTGAAAGGCAACCCGCAATTACACTTTGGAAAGTAGTTTAGTTATTGACCTCAGCAATTCAAGAGTTTGATAATGGCAAACGCGGGAACATCCGCAGTGAAGCGTCAATAACTCTCTATCGTTTTTATAAGACGTAATTTCGGATGATTTTCTCCAATTCGGGCGCTTTTGCTACTAGCTGTTAATAAAACCTATCGCGTACTACCTTGACCTTAGTACAACAAACCTTATATGTGAAATGTCTTATTAATTTTGATTCATTTTATGGATATGTCAATTAAGATTGATCATTGTTATACTCGTAATTTACAATAACCTATTTCATTTTATGTTTATACGTTATGACATTCTAAGCGTAGATATAAAGACATAATCTTGATGAAAGATTTGGTCGGTCGGAGTTCTTGGGTGTTGCCTATCCTATTTGTTGGGGGCTATGTGTTTTATGCATTTGCTTTAGTAACAAAATTACGTTTCTTTACCGCTTTAAAAAGCACTGAGTCTGAAGGTGAACAGACCCAATTCTTAACCTAATCGATATTTTTCAGCAGACCCTGACCTGGTATTGAACTTCAATTGAACGTCGTCTTATAAAATAAATACTAAGTAATTTTCGTTGCTAGCGACTTACGAAATCAATTGTCCATTAACCGGGTCACGGAACAATCTTTCGAATTTGGATGAGCTCTTTTCGGGTCTGACTTTTTTCTCTTCAGTGTTGACCTCGAATCTATTAATTTGTTCTCACAGTACAATAACAATTGAGACATCTATATTTTTCTAAGGTTTTTAATCGACTTAAATTCCTTTGTTGTAAATTGGACGTATTACTAATTTTCTATGTCTATATCTTGTCTATTCGTTCATTTATAGCAACCTTAGCCTACTTAATTAATAATATCGTAACATGTTATTTAATATCGCTAAATATGTATATGGAAGTCAACGAAATGATAACAGTTTCGTCACAAACAGTTACGTAAGTTGACTGAGCCAAAGGGAAAGTCCGTTATACATTTGCCTGCACGTATTCGGATGTATTTACGTAAGCGTATAATAGTGTGATTGCAAATCTAAACTGAATCGAATGTCACGACATTGACATAAGTAGATATGTAGCCTAGCTAGTACATGCCAAGGAACTCTCAGAGAATGTTATACATTAAAATTGCAATTCACTTAGTTTCCATATAAGACTACAGCACCAAATCTTAGATAGATGATTATAGGAACTGTATACGCGTTCTTTCACAGCGGCGATAAATCCTGACATACTAGCTAACTTTTGTATGTCTGATGCTTTCTCATCTTAACATAGCAAGTAGGTTGGGACCAACCTTACTTGAAAATGTTCAACAAAATATTTAAAGTTCAAAACTAACCATTTTTAATATTTACTACATAAATTATACATATAATCTCCCACTTTTTAGTCTGAGTACTGATTGAACATCTATAAGAGTTCTAACGTTTTTACCTTGATCCTAATATTTTAACTATTACTGAACTTCAATATTAACAACTATTATAACGAAAAGCAGAACTAGTGGTTATATCACCGTCCGGGAACGCAGCCGAAATCCAAGTGACCACTCCTCCATGCGACCATACTGTCCCTTGGCTCAAGTAGATAACGTCATATCCGGTAAACAGTGTTGCCAGCGCCAACACATCAGTTGAAGCTTTAGCAACCATTTAAAAAAACAATGGAACATCATTAATGTGAGAAAGTGCTCTTTGTTATTTCTAATGAACTTCACATCTCTAAGTAACTATGACACGACGCGTCAGATATGAAGATTATTTTATTGCATAACAAGACTAAAACTTTTACTTAAATAAATTACTAATTATCGATGTTATTTATAATGCGGGTAAAATAAAATGTAGTAAATACAAAATAAGAATGTTAGACAATACAGTTTAACACTATAATGTAACGTATTATAACAAATCAAAAGCGCACATCGTAAAATGTATAAAATTAATAAGTATATAAAATAATTTTGATGCAACCCTAACTGCTGTGACGGCTTTTGCTGTGCCATGCAACCGTGAAAGTAAATTTAAAATGGTAAACAAATGTTATATAAGGTTATTTCCAACGGAAGATTCTCATTATTGTTTAGATGCTTTGTATTATGTAATGCTTTGGTAACTCGCATTTGGAGAACAAGGCAAACAAGTTTTGGTTTTCGCCTTTAATTATATACTTGGAAAGTATCTATATACCAATTTGCGTGTTGACTTCAAGTTTTTATAAAAAGAATTTATTAAATTACAATTAATTAATTGAAGGCATTGAAAAATTAAAGGAAAATGGAGATTCAAAGCAAAAAAGTGACTAGCTCATCCGATCTGAGAATGTTGTAAAATTCAGTACATGATAAACGCAACCATTTTGTGTTATTAATATAATGGTAATATATGTTATACTTTGTTATGTATTAATAATAATACAAAATGTTATAATCTTTATTTAAATTTATTTAATGAATATTCTGGTATATTTGTTCAAGATTTGAAAGACACCGGGAAACAATTATTACATTTCATATTTACTTTGAAATTATGTATCTTTTTCGTTTATTAAATGTTTTTTGTATCGTTATTATCATGTTGTCATCATTTTCGAAATACGTAATAACAAAAAAATATTTCAAAAAATATGTGAAGCCCACCAATCCGCCGTAGGGTGCATGGTGGACTGTGCTCTGATACCCTCTGTACTGGCCTTTGCCCAGCCGTGGGACTTTTATAGGCTGTGACTTTACTTTACTAGAAACTTTTAGTAAGTAGCATAAGAAATCGAAATCTGTTACAGCTATGAAAACCATCAATATTCTATAATTCAAAGTTCAACTATGTCATGATATTTTCAAAAAAATAGGCCCCGAGTTTGGAAAGCTAAATAAACCATTATGTTTCTCTTTGCTCTATAATTCTTATTAGTTTTCATAAGTTTTTGGTTTGTTTGCGTTTTAAAATCTATAAAATTTATTGAGAGTTGTTATATAGCACTCCGTATTTGTAGAGTATGTAATTTGATTCTCGTTTAATTTTCAAATCGTTCTTTATGTGGTATGTCTTCCCTGTGATACTAGTCATAAGCACATTTCCTGGGTAAGTTTACAATATTTGGTACAATAAAACCTCCTGGGAGACTTCAAAATCTTTAAATTTAAAGCTATATAAAAAAATACAGAAACCATGTTAATTAATACACAAGACTCACTTGAGTAAAGAATTCGTATAAACCTTAACCACTACATGATTAGAATTTCGATACGATGCTACCATGCGCCGTAATTTTCTCACATAGAAAGTTTAAATAATACAAAAGAATTGCAAAATACTTGTTAATTTTTAAGATACAGGTTTAAGAAAACATGTACACATGTTAATTACTGTATAAACATTGGTTCCAAAATTGAACAAACAATTTAAAGCGATTAAAATGATTTTTTGTTCCAGATGACGATTTTGATTTAAGATTGATGTAAATAATCGTTTTTGGCAATTTCAGGTATCATACGGCAATAGGACGTCGCGTTTCCTTTTCGATGCCATCTTCGGATTGGAAGTGCCACTACTTGAAGAACAAAGCGTTGAAGACGATGAAGATGACGACACCCAAACAAAAAACTGCTCATGTGGCAAGTATCACATTGAAATATATCCATTCATATTTCGACTTATGTAGTAATTATAGAAATGTATATATTGCATCGTAACATATTTGAAAAATTTAAAAAAAGTGTCTACATGGAACACATCACAGCCGTTTAGCGTTATTACAAGCACTAGACTTACACGCGCTCAAAAAACTTATTTGTTTTACATTTTTTTTACCTAAGCCTTTTGGATTAAACTAACATTTAGTTGGCACTGACATGATTACTTTGCATTATTACTCTTTATTAAAAGCATTAAAATTGGCAGAAAAACTTATTGAAAAATTGTAATTGGAGGTTCTTATAAAAACTGTTCTAACGGTAAATAATAAATTAAGCCAACTGTAACAAGTTAAGGTTACTGTGTTATAGATAGATATTGTTTTCTGATAACGTTTTATTTATATTGTTTGTTGTTGTTTTTATTATTTCCGTTGTTTAGTAATGACTTCGTCCCATTATTAAAAACGTAAAGTAGACCATTACACGTTATGTACATGACAACAAAAAATATTTTTCAATTAGCACATGTTTTATGTACAGGCTGGGGTACAATGTGTATGGTGTTTGTAAACTTTGTTCAGTTATAGAATTACGTCTTTAGTCACAGCAATTTTAGTGTACATGTAATAATGAATATAAACGTTCACATTTTAGAGTGCGGCAGAGCAAACCCACTTCCTAGAAAGATGGGTAAGTTGATATTTGTACAGCAATCGTAGCTATTATTAATTATTTTGTACATGCTATTGCATATTTATGTAAAATTATGTTAATAGCACATGTTATAATATATTCGCACTAATATCTATTTTCATTTCTATCGCGCCAAATCTTCCTCTCTTCCTATTATGTTATTTCTTCTCGTATTACGTATACTTCCAACCGACAACCGACCGGAGGAAGTTCTCAATTCGACTGTAATTTTTTTGTTACCTCAGAACTTTCGACTGAGTGAATCGATTTTGATGATTCTTTTTTTTATATTAATTTCATTGGTATTGGATCTTGGGCTTCGGAGATATGAAGGGAACTCCAGAAAATCAATTATATAATAAATATAGAGCGAGATATTTGAAGTCGGATTTGTTTTTCGTTAATAAAAAAATTTACTTGTATTTCATGTCTATATTCTACTAATGTTATCAAAAGTAATATTAAATAATACATTAATATTTATTCAGATGTTTACTCTTTATATAGTTATATCATAATATTGGGCTGTATAAATGATTTATTTACACGGTCACGTATAGAACATGCAAGTGATTTTCTTAGAACAATATTTTTCGCGTCTCATTAGTTTGCAAATCTGTGAGATCGACGGTGAAAGTGGAATAGATTGCCTTCTCGATCACAGACCTTGTTCATTAAAGTGTAAAGTACATCATAATACTACCGGCTTGGACCGGATAGTAGTAACATTCCTACTGAATGCTAGTGTTGTGTCCGCGTTTCACTTACAGCGGAAAACTGGCCAGATCCTAATTAACTATGATCAGACTGAGGCCTGATACGTTTCCACCTCGCTTTTTCGTGTTTGCTGATGGGTGATTTATGTTTTGTGTTAAGTAGTATGCCATTTCGAATTTGGTTATATCTGAAGTTCAATAAAGAAGGAAAGAATTTGGAATATCATCCTAAATGATTTTCGGGATCTTAAAACATGGATAGCTGTGATATTACTATGAATTTAGTCAATCAGTAAGAAGTAAAATAAAATATCAATCATAATACGTTCCTGATAGTTAACATAACTCATTCTAATAATGATATGATGTATATAACTATTAACAAGGTATCAGACTTTACCTAACCAGATCTTTAGCTAACCAAACTTTACGATTTATATTATTTACGTATCTGTGCACATTTATTTATTTTATATTGTAAATAACTATTGATAATTCAATCAGTGTTAAATTGCCATCACTAAAATGTAGAGGGAGCTACATTACGGATTATATCTGTATTTTGTGTCATGTTTGTCATGAGAATCACCACCGGCTCGTGTTATTGCAGAATGCAACGGTTCCAATCAGGAGAATCGCATTGTGGGCGGAACGTCGGCTAGTGCCAATCGATACCCTTGGATGGCGCGAATTGTGTACGACGGCCAGTTTCACTGTGGGGCGTCGTTGCTAACGAAGGAATACGTTCTCACCGCGGCTCACTGTGTCAGGAAGTAAGTGGAAATAGTTACGGTTAAAGTGCATATGACACGCATTATATATCTATTCGTTCTTTACCAATACGACAGAGATCTGTGCCATAAGTTCATCCGTTTTGAAGACTTCTTGCGCCGATTACGACTGAACTTCTGATCTTTTTGTGGGTACAAATATTTACCGTTTTTACATTTTGTATGTGAGTTAAAATTTGTGTGGAAGAGTGCTTTATGAGTTTAACTTTGACTATCCGATTTAGGCTATATGAACTATGACGAGGTATTTGATATAACTAGAAAAAGTAACACCTCCGTTCTACTGTTTAATTATATCATCAATGTGACTCAGTAGATTCTTATTATAACACAAACGCGCTTGGCTACTGAAATGGTAATTGAAAAACAAACAAAGTATGCCTATGTATGTACATTCAATGTATGTGCTAATCAATAAAATTTTACCGAGGCAACGATATGAACATAAATACGTTCATTAGTTACGCGACAATTAGAAAATACAATCGACTGCGTATTCATTACGGAATAATTTATTGATGTTAAATTACGATGAAAATATTTACATCGTTGTCTGTCCGCAGACGATTAATCTGCGTACGTTGAAATTTTGTTACGTACTCGTACGTATAGCAACACGCAACGTTGAATTTCTTTTGAATTACGACCATGTTTGCAATTTAGCCGAGTGTGAAAGGAGTATTCTTTCCGGTGTTAATATTGTGATATAACAGGCAATTCATATCTACTATTGCATTATTGCTATCATTACCAAAGCACGCGTCCGATTTGAGTGTCTTGAATACGTTCATGTTTTCATATTAAATTTTATGGTACTACTCTCTGCACTTAAGATGCAATTAAAAAATGTGATAAAAACGAAATAAAAAAATAAGTAAATACTTTTTTTTTGGGGCTGTGATGATCATAAGCTGTTTAGTTCAGTGGCTAGTTCAGACGTCTGGCGCAGAAGACAATGGGCAATTGAAGTCAACATAACCACGGTCTTTCTGCACAATTCATCAGTTAACCTTTTGGGTCACTCCTTACAGCCTTGCGATTGCAACTAGTGACTTCTTTTCATTCCTTAAAACAGAAGATTGACCATAAAAAAACCCAGTTTCTATCGCTGGAAGATTATGAGCAGCATTCGACCTGAACATAGAAAAGATATCCGTGACGGGCGGTAGAAAACTTTTTATAGATGTTGGTGGAGTGTACTTTGAAGAGATTGAAATCTCTTGTTCAAGTTATTCAAGAAAATTGTTCGTTTAGTTTCACGAAAAGTTTTTTACGAACATTTTTGCCAAGTTATGTGAGTGGCACAATCAATGATATTATAACAAAAATGAGGTAGATAATTATGTCACTAGGGCACTGAAACTGGGGCGCTCAAATTACGCCAATTGGTGTAATTCTATAGACTGCTATTTTATTTCCTACTAACGTAGGTATTATATACCTACGTTCTATATCATCTGTCACATTCACTTAAACATGCCATATAATGTAAAGCGAAACATTTTAAACGTCCCGCAGTATGGACATGCGTCATCTATACGAGAATTATTAAACATCAATGGGCACAATCGTTAGAACCGTAACTCGAGATTCATAAAAACAGTCTCACTTAGTATTTCTCTTTTTTAAAAATTTACACGACGCTTTGCAGGCTGAAGCGCTCCAAGATCCGCGTGATCCTAGGCGACCACGACCAGACAATCACCAGCGAAAGTCCTGCCATCATGCGAGCGGTCAACGCGATCGTCCGCCACCGAAGCTTCGACGCGGATTCTTATAACAACGACATCGCCCTGCTAAAGTTGAGGAAGCCGGTCAACTTCTCGCGAATCATCAAGCCTGTGTGCTTACCGCCCGCTGGTGAGTGTTTTGATCAGGTCGTGGCAGACGGGTGGACGTTCTATATATCTTCGAATTATTTTTTCTTTGTTGACGAAAACGATTTCATGATGTTTTCCTTCACCACTGAGCACGTGATCAGTCAGCATTTAAAATTAAAAATTTCGTTGGTGCCGGCACCGCGGATGGAACTCAGGTTGCTCGATTATATAGAACTTTCTCTTTCTTTCTTTCTCTTTTTAAAAAACATTGCCCTTGCTTTGGGATAACATATCCTATGGACAATTTACAAACACACACTTCACGCGGACAAACACCCAGATGCTAAACAGCTATCTGTGCGTCACACAATAAGTTGTCCCGTCGAACCCACGACCCCCGAAGCCGATACCTTAGCGACTGCGCCACGGAGTCATCAAGGCGAGCGTCGGGACAATAGGCTATTATAACTCAGTAACGTGTTTATTGACGACCCGAATGGAGAAGTGGAGAAGAGGGTAGTGTACCTGACTCTTGCGCCAGAGGGTGTGGGTTCGATCTCCACTACTGGAAAAATATTGTGTGATGAACATAATGTTTTTCTGGTGCCTGGATGTTTGTATATGTACATTATGTATTTATTTACAAAAGAAAAGTATGTTTAAGTATGTACATCAGTTATCCATACCCATAATAGCCGTGCTCAGTTTGGGACTAGAGAACGTTGTTTAAAAATGTGTCCTAAAATATTTACAAGGGACCGAGCCGGCGGGCAAAGAGGGCATAGTGGTGGGCTGGGGGCGTACATCCGAGGGGGGGCAGCTGCCGGCGGTCGTGCAGGAGGTGCGCGTGCCGATACTGTCGCTGACACAGTGCCGCGGGATGAAGTACCGCGCCTCGCGGATCACGGGCAACATGCTGTGCGCGGGCCGCGCCTCCACCGACTCCTGCCAAGGCGACAGCGGCGGCCCGCTGCTCGTGCAGCAAGGCGACAAGTACCAGATCGTCGGTGAGCGATCTGTTATACGCGATATTTCGAGAGCCCTTTTTTTTAAAAAAAAGAACTTTATCATTAATTAACACTGGTTTTAAATTGAATAAGATTTCGCCATTGTTCTTTATGTTTCTAAAGCGCTCTTACAACACAAGATAACGTACAGTGAGGGCAATTTGTTTGAAAATTTTTGGCTATAACCTTAACCAAAACAAAGAATTTTAGAACACCCTTATGTATAAAACTGTAACGTAAAGTTCATTTGTAAAGGTCACAAAGCATATGAATGGGTTGAATGAATTTAAGAGAGACAAAACATACTGTTAGAAGGAGAGGCTTGTAATGCGACGCTGTGGCAACGAATGGAAAAAGTCTCGGAATGTATGAATCAGTCAGTTGTAGTTGTATAGGATGTTAAAAATGCTGTTTCTTTTTTACTTAATTAGTTAGTTTGAAAAATATTTTTTTAATGGTTTTTAATTAAAAATTAAAAATTATGGATTTTTTTAACATTAATATTTTTTTATGATTATTGGCAAGCAGCGTTAGACGTGTGTTCATTTATTGTCGCGATGGTAACGACACGCTGCATATTTAATTGATATATTTTTGGTTAAATATTTCCTTTAATGTAATTACAGGCATAGTGTCTTGGGGCGTCGGATGCGGTCGCCCCGGTTACCCTGGTGTGTATACCCGGATCACGCGGTATCTCTCCTGGTTGCGTGCTAATCTCAAGGACTCTTGCTTATGTGACAATTGAAATAATAGAAATTTCCGTTCATTTTTAATTTAGCACATAACCTATTTACATAATCAAATTGTTTACGTTTCGCAATGGGTTCTGAATGTTATGTCTACTAAAGGAAATATGAATATGAAGTTGGCGATTGTGAAAATTGTTTTAAATTATTCAGTGAAAATGCTGTAATCTTGTTAATATTTATAGTTTTACTGTTAAGTTTGTCTATTGTTTTTTTAATACTTATGAAGAAATAGAAGATTCTAAGACACCTATATAAATGTTCATGTTTATGTGTACGTTTGCTTTAAGCAAACTGTAATAAGTTTTAGGCGTACGACTTGTTTATTAGAATTAGAATAATATTAATGGGAACTAAGCAAAAAAAATTACATCAATGAAAGATAAGTTAAATTTCAAATGTGTTTATGTCATATAATTATCGTATACTTTTATGTAAAGATTTTTTATTTTTATACGTAATACGTATTTGTATAAGGTATCGTCTTTTGTACAGCATAATCAGCTATGGTTGACTATCACATATATGGTTTATATATGTATAAACCATATATGTGATGAACACTAATATGTGTGGTATAATATTTTAAATAATCTGTTTATTATTTTTTGGGTTAAACATACGAAAATTTTACAGCAAATTGCAGCTAGTTTTACGTCATTGCATAAATTATCACTTTAAGTACGGACAGTAGAATCTAAGTGAAAGCAGGCGACAAACCTTGTATATTTTAAAAGCCGGTTCACGCTTAAGACAATAACAGTTACGCGTTCCCGTTTTGATATTGCTACGATAGAAGTTAATCTAAAATGTTCTAAAATTTTTCAAGTTAAAATAGTATTTTTTAAGCATTAATATAAATAATTGATAAATAACCTATGTGTATTAAATATATGATCTATTTAATTGATAAATAAACTAGGTAGTTAGACATTTTGCCAAGCTCCGTGCTATCGTGCGTACGTTTCCGTTAACTAATTACTAAGTTTGTTGTAATTAAGTTTTGTTTATGAAACTCGATTAATTAATTAAGTTCAGGCCGGTGGTGCAGATTACCAATATAATATAAGTTCAACGTAGACTACCTAAGTGTTCAATGAATGCGAATAGATTTTAGATTTGACTTTTAAATTATTTGTAGGCAAATTTTAAATTATACAGTGTTAATGGCTTGTAACGGTGTTAATTTATTCTTTCTATTTATAGAATTTAATTGAATGTATGTATCAGATCTTTCTGTCAACTCCAGGCAGGTTCAAAATTGTTGCTACAACTGGTATCACAGGTACCATTTCAGAACTAGAAAGATATTTAGTTATACGAAAATTTCACGTACTAAGGTAAAAAAATAAGGAAACTAGTTATTATTTACAAGTATAGGCTTTTTTAAATGTTAATGACGATTGTAAATCTAAAGATATTTATGTAGTACAACAAGTACAACAACAACCTTAGGACTAATTTGTACAGGAATCTAGGAATATCGCTCTTTAGGCTGTAACTGTGATTACCTTCATCTTTATTTACGTTTTTTTATAGAATGAAATATTGTTAATGTTTATTGAATTGATAAATTGTAAAATTTATTTATTATTAATTTTAGAGCCTAAGTAACTTCGTAGTCCTAAGCAACTCAACTTGTAAATTTTATGTTGATTACATTTACGAAATCCTAGTTATTTATTTTGATTATTGCTTTTCTTTATCCTTTTTTGTTTTATTTATTTTTCTGCTTACTGGTAGACTGCACGAAACGATCACAAATTCTCATGTTTGCATAGCACGGAGTACAGCCCCTCCAAAAGATCTGCGGTGTAAAATAGGTGTGTAAAAAATTGTTTTATTTCTCTACTTTCAAACTACTGGAGAAGGTGGCAATTGAGCTGGCAGTTCACCTGTTGTTAAGTGATAACCGCCGCCCATGGGCATTTGCAACACCCGTGGGTTTGCGGATCCATGGCTACCTTTTAATAAAGTGGGCCCCCGTTACCGCCAGACGAAACACAGAAGTATAACTCTTCTACTTCACGACTTCTGTGAGGCATCTGTGAGGTATAATCTTCCGGACAGACCTGCCCATTCGCGCAACAGTCGACATTAAATTGTGTCGTAGTAATCGAAATACCTAATAAGAAAATTTCTGTTGAGCATAGTTTCTAGTTTTCAAGAAGAAAGTTTCTGTTTTAGGAAGTTAGGTTACATTGAATATATATTTTATGGCGCCTTACGGTGACGTATAGTCAATGTCCTATAAAAATTATTTGCTATTAGTAGGCAATTCGTCGCGCTGTTGTCAAAATTAAAAGTATTAAACAACTTAATATGAAATATTTATTTCTGCTTCTTTTAATTTATATTAATATTTTAATATATATTTTAATTAATATTCCTTTAATGGATGCATCATGTTCAAGTACATATACCATACTATATTTATACTGTGCCATGGCATTGTGATGTTCAATTACTAAGATTAAATAAATAAATATATGTATAACGATAAAATCCGTAAAATCGACAATATGCACTGTTTTTATAAATAATACAAATAGTACGAAATGTGTGAAGAAGTCATATCGTATGTATAACACTTCTCCGTTGTGCACCTATCTTACTTTTTATATACCACCCTAAAGTTGACTGGTAGAAAATACTTATTAAGTCCGCCTTGTACACGGACTAGTAAATTTATATTTTTTATAGTCCGTGCTTTAATAATAATAATAAAGTTTAAATAAATTTAAAAGATTCAGTCACAATATAATTATTTTGCTACACTTTAGTGTAATTTCTATCTCTTTGTTTAATTACCATATTTTATGCCAAATTTAAATTATGATATGTACCTATCTACTTCAGAAAGTTTCTAAATTCAAAATGTAACTGCCCTCTACCTTCAAATAAAATTACTTAATAAGCCTTTTATTTCAACTGGAAACTTTGACCGCAACCGAATGCCGAACCGAACTACTGGGTCAGTCATTGTTGACAATTGGGTCATACTCATACTGAGCGCCAAGACAAAATGGGTGGCATAAAACATTGTCAAAATGGTTATGAATATCACATTTATTTCTTTTATGTTTAAATAATCAGTAGCCAGTCAAGAAAAGCGGGCTAAAAATTCTAGATAACATTGTTTTTAAAAGGAATTCGTTAGACTAATGGTAAGAATCCTTTGTGAAGTATAAGTCTGTCGCAATATGACCTCTATAGAAAATCTTACTTTCGCTGGCAGCGTGTAGTGTACCGTTTAATGGAACTTTGTTAATTTTATACCAAATTATTTTATTTCATATGTTTAAAAAGTTTCTTATTTAACAATTGTATCATGGAACAATGTAGGTTTTGTATGTTATTGTTTCATATAGAGCCATATAGAGTCACACCATACATAAGCTTTGTACACACGTAATGTGCAGATGGCTTTTTATTTAATATAGATTTGCTAGTTGTTCCACAAAACAAACAAGATATCTGTCTGGTGTTAGTTAGGCATTGTCGTAAGCAAATCACGTTGGCCCACGAGAACATGGCAGCGGTCCGAACGCATCTCAGTGTGTGTTGCGAACGCGCGCGACAAGTTCAAGAACTGAAGACGATGCGCCAGCCGTGCGCGAAATTCTGAATTCGACATTTGAATTTGTTTATTTTTTTTCTATGTTTACTTTCTAAAAGTCGTAACATTATCCAGGATGTGGAAGTGCTCTCTATATTTAGTGGTTGTGTTAATAGTTTTCGCTAATTCTGAGGTTTGTGTAATATTACTTTCTTTAACGGAATTTTCTCTTTTAATTTATACGCAACGTGACATCCAATCCGCATGAGCTAATCCATTGTTTACAATTTTGATAATTTCTTTTTTACACTATTAGATGACTATTTTAAAAATACAAACTGATTATATATTTGTTTATCAGTCTTAAAAATTATAATATTTGAAATTATGTTGTATAATATTTGAATTTAATCCTTTCCTCCAGGAGGATGCAGCGCGTGATGGCCGAGAAGTGTCAGCGAAAAATTTCTTCGGTGGAGTGTGGGGAAATCGCCCTCCGATCATGGAAAAAAATCAACCTAAAGCGACGTGTACTTGCAGTAAGAGTCTAAAAATGTTTAGTATGAAATTATTTTATGATTGAAAAAGCCACGATTTTGTCTTTATTATCTGATAGCGTTGTTTCTATTTATCACATGTTTTTTACGTTAAGACTTACTCGAATATTTTTTGATATTAATTTCATTATCACTTTAGTTATAGATATGTAAAAATATTTTGAAAGAAGTGTTCGTATTTTATTTGCAATAAACTCTTCTTGAGTACACCTATTCCCTTGATACGATAAAAAGACGAGAATATTACTCGTTTTGTTGTGGTGTGTTTTATTTTAAAAATGGCTACCTTTGACTTTATACCGTGGGTCACCTTTGATTATGAGCAAGCCCCAAGTTTTATTTTGTGATTATCTTTGATTGCTTAAAAGGAATTGAAAAAAACTTGATATTAGGGGAAAAAATCATGGTACGTGCGGGTACCGCTCTTGATCTAGTACGACCTGTCTTAAAAACCTGCTCATAGCTGCGTCATATCATTATTTATTTCTTATTTTACTAACAACCTTATTGTAAGTAACATAAAAAGAAAAATAAGCTTTGTTTTCAAACAAAACAAATTGTGAAGTCTGTTTAGGTATGGAAATATACTAAAGAGAAGAATATTTTCGTGGTTCAGTACAGTTTTATTTTACCAAAACTGGAAATCTGTTAAATTGGAAATCTTTTGTTATACTATTTTTGTTAACGTCAACTGAAACAATGTTATGTTTTCAGACATCTTTAAAAATACTTCTGTCTTACAATTTCCTCTGCCTCATCCTTCCTATTTATTTAGCGACGACAGAATAGGATTGTGGCTGTGATGGCCTATTGATTAAACGGAGCCTTTTGATCTTTGGTGAGAGATTGAGAGCCCAATTTTCAAAAGGCTGTCAACGCTTCTGTAACCCTCGGGTGTAGCAGATGTCAACAACAGATGATCAACTTTTCGCATTAAAAAAACCAATCCATTCAAGACATAAATCAGAATGGTTGTTTCAATCTGTAAAACATAAAATCTGTTTTGTTAAATGAACGGATCAAATGAAAATTAGACAGAACAGTGGTTGTCTGATCTTCTGATTTCGTAACAGCCTATTTTTTGTTCGTATTGTTAGAAAGTCGAAGTCGATTGTTAGGAACACCGCCTGTGTTGGAACGGTGACATCGAAGCGATTTTACGTACGTGGGATCCAAATACGAACGGAAATTAGTATTTTTAGAATATTAATAAAAAAAAATGTAATAAAATTTATATGTAATAATAGCTTTGCACTGAATAGTGCTATCCATAAAGGTTGTGAAGTCTGGTAGGTATTTACTTATTTAGTCCGCTTGCAGGTGTTACACTTAAAATTTCTTATACAATAATAATTTTTAATTATTTCAACTACTCGTAATCGCACATGTAAATATGCACAAGGACAATAATTGAAGCAATTGTAATAATATTACAACTAAACTACTATTGTTTCTTACTTGAGTCCAGATTTTAAGAAAAATATTTTAATATTTCTATTATATAACATTCTCGTGTCACGGTGTTTGTAATTGAACTCCCCGAAACGGCTCGACCGATTGTCGTGAATCTTATCGTGCATATCGGCCAGGATAGAGAATCGGATAACATCTATTTTCCATCCCCCTAAATGTTAAGGGTGGTCCACCCCAAAATTTTTTTTTATTTTTTATATAAAATTTTTTGGTTTTTTTTTATCATACAGCATACAAAAATATCCCTCTAAAAAAAAGGGAAAAAAAGAATAAAATCATCAGGATCGACAAAAAAAAAAAAAAAGAAAGCAATGATCTGGTATAGAAAAAAAATAAAGTGTGTAAATGATCGTGATACGAACCGCGGCCGTCTGTTTTGGGGCCGCCCGATTAGCGATCATGTCAAAAAAATGTTGTAATAGGTTACAACATTTTTTTTGCGGCGAGATTTACCGTCATATTCGAATGATTCCCTATAAAAGGATATTTTCCTAGCTAGATTGATTTTTCCCTCCCGAATTTACGCACATACAAAATTTCATGAAAATTGGAGCCGTTTCCGATTCCGATTATATATATATATATATATATATATGTATATATATATATATATATATATATATATATACAAGAATTGCTCGTTTAAAGGATAAGATTTTATAAATCACTATGAAATTCGCCTTAGGTAGAAAATATGTTAATGACATAAGAACATTTTTTTCCTTTACTTGCTTTTATCAGGTAGGTCTGCAGCAAAGAAAAATATGTAATAAAATTGTTTAAGTTTTTTTTAATATAAAACAACACATCGTCGTGTTTAGTTTTATTTTATATTCTTTCAATTTCTAAGGCTTGGCCATGTAAATTGATTGTGGTGTTTAACATCCTGATCTTTATCATTAACCTGAGCTCCTGTTAGGTTATTTGATATTTTTGCCTCGCTTTTTTCTTTAAAAACATTAATGTTTAAGCATTAAAAAATTAAATTCGAAATGCTGCAGATGTGTAGTGTCATAAACATGAGCCACGAACATAAATTCGAAAATGCTTGCAATCGATTATAACAAACTCAAACAGATTCAAAGAAAAAGTTAATGTCAAATTTTCTTTATTCAATTTATGCTTGATTCAATTTATTTTTTTTGATTCAATTTAATTAATTTTTTTTTCTTATGTGTTCTTAAGTTTTTTTTCTTAAGTTGCGAAACGAGCAGACGGATCACCTGATGTTAAGTGAATACCGCCCATGAACATCTGCTACACCCGCGGGTTTGCAGATGCGTTGAGAACCTTTTTGGAAATTGGGCTCCGGCTACCTCACTCACCAGACGAAACACGAAAGTATACTTCGACTTTACGCCGGTCTTTTGTGAGGTCGTGGTACTTACCCGGACGAGCCTGCACATTCGTTCAACAGCCGAGGCTGCTGCGTGGCTCTACCACCCCAAAATGAACGCCACTAACAAATATTAACTATTGTATTATTAATTGTCCAAGAGGTTTTTGAAAAACAATATTCGTTTGGAGTTAAAATGTCGGCATCCACTGATATTAGTTACAAACATGCGATGTTCAATTCCAGAGTGCGGCGAGAGGAACGAGGTGTCGCGTATAGTCGGTGGAACGGAGGCCCGCAACGATGAGTTCCCTTGGATGGCGAAGCTGATCTATTTCAAAAGGTTCTACTGCGGCGGCATGCTTATCAACGATAGATACGTGCTCACGGCTGCCCACTGCGTCAAAGGGTGAGTACAGTACTACTGACGTTATACGAAAAAGAAGTAAAGTCAAGTAACAGCCTATACAGGGAGGCTTTTCTAAGTGTATCCGTTTTTTTATTAAATTCTGGACATAAATAATGTTATAAAAATGATAAATACATATATTATGTCCGACTGCTGGGCAAAGGCCTCCTCTGAACAGAGCGTTTTAGGGCATAGTCCACCACGCGGTCCCACTACGGATTGACGGACTTCACATATCTTCGAAATATATATTTTTTTGTTATTATTTCGAAAATATGCAGATTTCCTTTCGATGTTTTTCCTTCACCGCCGTGCACGTGATAAGTCAGCACTTAAAATTAATAATTTCATTAGTGCCAGCACCGGGAATCGAGCTTAGGTTGCTCGAGTATATTGAATTAAAATCGAGCGCCCGGACAATGAGCTATCACGGCTCAGTTATATAAAAGCCTTACACACTAATTGACGTGGTCGCTTTTTCAATCATGCTGTTCATGGTCTAAGGTCCGAAAATGACAGTACTTAGGCCATTAGCTTTGGAAGGTCTCCGATTAGAAGGAAAAACAGTGATGCAACCGGTGCAAGGTGTCGTTCGTTGTGTTGTTCTAAGCTCATATATGTCTCCCTTGGAAATGGTTACAGTTTAAAAAGTTTTAAAAGTTTGTCTTAACGTTTGTTTCTTTCCACTTATCTCTGCGGTGGTTTAACGGAATCGTTCTATTTCGGTATATTACTAGCTTATCGATTAACAGGTGGAACCTTTAAAATTATTTGTTTTGAGTCTTAACTACCGCACCCGCGCAGCTGGATATTCATTTTTATAATATGTCACTTAGATGCGATGTTTATGCAATAGTTATATATATGTAATTTTTATATAGCCCTAAACTACAGCTAAAATAACTAATATATGTTTTGCTTATAATAAGTTCGGTGTGCTTCCTGGCAAAGCCCTTTGCAACTCTTCTTCAGTTACAACCCACAGTTAATTTGAGTTCGGCCTCCTATATTTGCGTTGTCGACCTCGATTTCGTTTCCAATTTCTTGGGTACCATACCGTGAATATTTTGCCCCATTTATCTTGAGGGCTGCGTAGCATATGACCCGTCCATCTCCACTTCTTTTGATCTATCTTAATGAGAATATCTGTCACAATAGAAGATAATGAAAAGAAGATAATATAAATAGATAATATATGTAGAAACACATATATTAGAGCCAGAACAGAGGCTCTTATATATGTGTTTCTTTTCCTATTAATTTTTCTGATATTCAGCATACTTCTTTCCATGGCTCTTTGGCAGTGTTCTAGCATATTCCCGTGCTGTTTAGAAAGTGTGCAAGTTTCGCAGCAAGGTCCAGATATATTTAATCCTCCACATATTCGAGAGATTGATTAATGATTTTTATTTCGTATAGGATTGAATTTGTTAGTAACTTTGTTTTGCCTGTGTTCATTTATGCAGTAGTTAGTATTTGGTTAATGTTTTACAAATTTTGATCCAATTTCTGGACGGAGTAAGTTGCCCAAGTCGTAAATTTTCGATTTGCATTTGTTTTTATCTCTACCTGAGTCTGAGTGCTTTACAATATTTTTAAGTCTTCCTTCTTGGAAACTATTGGACTGATAACTTTAAAGGATTTTTCCATAAATTTTTGACTCAATCTTATCAATTTAGGTATCGCCGTAATAACATTTTATTGTTTTTCAAGTTACACTTCTTTTGGCGCATTTGAGAAAAATTATGCGAATTATTACGATGTGCAAGACATAAAAGGGACACCAACTTCATGGTGTTATCATGGCGACCAATACTCATAAAAATATTTTATATTTACCTATTATATCATTCATTAAAACCATAAGCAATTGCATTAATTTTTTTTTTCACAGACAAAGAGTAATGGATACATTAATCATATTAAAAGTGGTGGTTGTTTTCTCTAGCGCATCGGACCCTACTGCTGCGTATGTAAATATTAACATACTTTAAACGTGTAGGAGGCAAAAGTTAACACAGAAATGTTGTCTATTCACTCGCCTTTGGCAAATTTTCAAGTTACTTGAATAAATAACAGAAGCGTGAGTTAGTCAAATGTTTGTATAAAATTCAAGAGGGTGTTGACTTACATGTAATATTAGGTAAAAAGCAAGTAAAAGACATGTTTTGTTTTTCTTGTAGGTGAAGTTTAATTTAATTTGACTACAAATTTTAACGGAAACGCAATCGTGACATTAAAAGATTTGAAACGAACAATTGAACGTAAACCAATGGGTTAAGGACAATTGCATACGTTTGTACGGCCGGACTACCTACGGCTTTGTCACACTAGGGATGTCCAAACAATTATGGGTCGATTTGCAACACGTTAAATATGCTAATCGTATGTATCGTATCGTTATTTCGATACCGTAAATCACTGATATACGGGTACGATAACCCGAGAGCCGGCAAACGTCTCCTAAATAAGTTCTTGAGGCGATCTTTTAAATTCCAATCAGTAGTATCGGTGCGTTCACCTTTAAACCGGCCCAATGAGCAGGCTCCGAACATTAAAGTTCATTATCCTCGACAAATGTACATTTCGGGCGCGTTAGTGCGACCTTTTCGGCGCGACTTTTTTAACGTTTTTCCATTCGATTGTTTAATTTTGCGGGCGTACGTAAATGAGGGCGAAATACCGAGAACTTGGTGCCGTCCACTCGGCAATATTATCTGTGCAAATTCACGATTCTAAAAGGAAAAACGTGACGGCTTGTGGCGGAGCGGAATAAGACGCAAAAAATACAGTAAGTGAAAGCGTAAATGAGCCATCATTAATAGTATGCATGCCCGCGGTCCAACGAAAAATACTGTGTCACTTTCGCCCAATACAAACTCGGCCCCCCTAATGTCGCCGCGACGCGGTACAATGCTGTTCGATATTAATGTGCTTCTTAAAGAAGAATCTGGCACTTAAACAAGTTTTGAAAAGAAATCAAATTCAACACTTTCTTACGTATTACAATCGATGTAAAATTATAAATTACCACCTTTTTTTCGTTTTACGTTTGCGTAATTTTAGCTGAAAGACTGTTTGTCACACAATTTTGAAAATTTTGACGCGAATTTCTACGGAATAAAAACGAAAATCTTTTAAATGCACCATGATATGCCTATTTCCTAAGAGCTTTGTACTACGGCAGCATGGAATTACTAGTTGAGAAACTATTTCACTATAATATTTTTTGAAGTAATACTTCTTTAGGCGCGACAAGGGAGTAACTCAGATTTTTTCTGACGGAAGTAACGCTTTTTCTGACGGAAGTAACGTCATAAGTATATGTAATATTTTTAAAATATGACATATACTTATGACGTCACTAAATATTTAATCATTTCAGTGATATATGCCGTCAACGCCAAAGAAGTTTTACTTCAATCGCGCGTAAAGGTTACACGCACACACTTTTTTTTTATATTTACGTGAATACTGGACGTTATGAAACTATAGCCTCAAGAATCATCCTAGGTATAAATCGGTCAATTTCTGTAAGGAACTTCGATTTAAAGTGTGGTCACAGACTCACAGACTTGTAGTTTTTTCATGCGCGGGTTTTTAACTTCTCTGTTCGATTGTCCATTATGATTAAGATTACATTCGCAATGTCGAACGATTAAATGTCTAGTTACACTCCAAGATCATGTTAAGGATTTTGCACTTGACACATGAAGAAAAATTTATTAATCTTTCTCAGCGGCTCACATTAGATTGGTTACCAGGTGGTATCCACGTAACGTTGGTCTGCGTCATAGAGATTGGAGACTCCCGAAAACCACTCCATTCCCTGGTGGTAAATGCAACAAATTACTATATAAACGCGACCGCTTACAAACGTCGCCCGCGCAATATCCTCATCGACCCGGTCGAGAAAGGTGATGTAGGTACGTGGGACCCAAGAGGCTCCCGCTAAACAACAATACAACCACCATATTTCTGATACATAATAACCAATTATTTCGTCCTCGATCGGTATCACGGTCCGGACTGAAACTCGATGGTTAATATGGGACATACCTCCCATTTAAGATAACGCACGCATGAGCATATGTGCGGCCTTACCCAAGCCGGGGGTCTTACCAAGCTCGTGGGTTTTGGCTATCCCAAGAGTTCTAAATAAGTATGAAGCGATGGACTGAAGGGGGAAAACATCAGTTAAATTAAAAATAAAAAGTTTTGATCGACTCGATACATTTCTTCTCTGACGGTTATGGTTTAACTCAGTCACTGCCACGGAGGCTTGGTGCTCCAAGCTTGAAATTCCTCTGCACGGCCAAGTCTTCTTTGTCACAGAAATCACGTACTCTCTATTTGACATGTTAAATGTAAATAATTTCAGGTTATTAAGAGATTAAACCATTCCAATTTCAGCTTTATGTGGTTCATGGTAAAGGTGACGTTCGGCGAGCACAACCGCTGCAACGCGACGGTGCGCCCCGAGACGAGGTTCGTGATAAGGGTCATCGCCAATAAGTTCAGCCTCACAAACTTCGACAACGACATCGCGCTTCTTCGGCTCAACGAACGGGTGCCTATGTCCGATGCTATCAAGCCCATTTGCTTGCCCACAGATAAATGTAAGTTACTATCCAATTCGCAGTAGCAAAAACCTGTTTAGCTTTCCATTCGGGCCAAACCCTTCTATTTATGAAAGGGATTACATTCTGTATAACTTTTTTCATTGTCTACCAGCTCTTGAAAACACGCCCATGAAACATAAGGAGTATTTCTTTAAGATTTTTACTATAGGACCATGAACGCTGTACTTCGAAATGTCGGTAATAAAAAAAAAATAAACGCGATTAATCCTTAAATTAGTTTAATTTATAATGTGTAATCGCGTAAATACAAGAAATTATTAAGATTTTTACTTTAGATTTATGCTTTGATCAATAATTTATTTAATTCTGCTTCTATATTTGCTTTATTTTTTTCTCTTTATTATTATCTGTATTATTATTTTATTTATTTTGCGATTATATTATTATATTGGTATTTACATATGCTGAGAAGGAATAATAATTATTATATTTACTATTCCGACGTACATCGTTGGATTCCAATCGGTTCCGGTCGAATTCCTGGTTTAAATTCTAGATCTCTTCAATAAAGTACTGCATACTCTAACTTAACAGGAAAAACGAATGCTCATTTATATTTTATGTGTGCTTTCGAATGGAAATTGTAATTTGCAAGTCGATGGAATGACTAAAAGTGGGTTAAAATTAGGTTCTAAGATTTTCCTTGCTTACTTGTGATTAGCAAATCAAAGTCTAAGTGAAAGTAAATTGGACTTAAAAAAGTATTACAAAAACTAAGCGATGTTAAATGAACCGTAGAACATTTTTCACCAAAGAAATGTAACAATACGACTATTTACAAAAGTGGCATTTTGATCTTGTGAATTAAATATTTTTGCTGAAATGGTGAATGTGATTAATTCAGCTTAGACAGCGGTTTAGAAAAATCTATTCAGAAGAAAGATAAACATTGTTCAAGACAACAAATGTTCGCGTAAAAAAATTGTTTTGTCATGAGAAGGTGAAGGTGGTCAAAGAAAAGGTGGTGACGAATAAATTGAATTTAGTGGTAACAAATTTTGTTATAGCAAAATACTGAAGACTGATTACGGTATTAATAAATTGCTGACTTTTTTAGCTCAAGCAAAACGGCAAATATAATATATTTATAGTATCTTGCGGGCCTACGTTTAATTAAGCCACTACTTCTGTCTTCTGTTAGATTTTTACTTCTGCGGGCGAGCCAGCCTTATTTTTATTCGAAGTACCTACATATAATCGTGGTCCAGGCGTAGGTGCCCTGAGAGCCCGGCCACCTCAAGCCTGTAGATCTGTAAAGGCAAATGGTTTATCCAGCCAAAATAAAAAAATAAAAACCTCATTTCATACCGGTAGTATTATGAATTAGATATGAGACTGCGCTAGATGGCTTTTTGCTTTCCATCAGATGGTACAATAAACATTTCATTTAGATGCGTAGCTAAGACACATTTATGAATTGAAATGACGCAAACAAAATACTTGTGTAATTCACATAGAGTTGCTTTTTTTTAAATGAATTCTAATGTTTTCATCAATCTTGTTCCATAATTCGAATTAATCACGAAATAAACAATATCAGTCTCAATTTTTTTATTCCATACCACGGTGGGTTTTTACCTATTATGACCACGTTATAGACCAAGGATCAGTGCGCATAGGCAATTGTTTATTTTAGGATCATCGAACTAATATATGCTTAAGAGGAGCGCCTTTTGTAGCTGTTATTTCGTGTATCGACCTCCTCTCATGGAGTATACAACGAGGGAGTAAACCAATTGTCCGGAGTCAGCTTTTTCGTTTAGTGCTTGCCATTCGAAGTTAAAAGTTTTTTAATGTTCGACGATGCCAAGTGCGTTGGTCAACCTGATGGTAAGTGATAACCGCTGACCATGGACATTTGTGACACCCGTAGGGTTAAAAATGCGTCGCGACATTTTACTACAGTGGGCCCCGGTTACCTCACTTACTTCTTCCAATGCAAGTCGGTTCTCTGTGAGCTCGTTGTACTTTCCCGGACCTGCCCATTCGTGCAACGAATACTGTTGCGTGGACCTATTACAGTACAAAATATTTTGTCTATTTAATACCTTACTAGATTTACTATAATGCTTTCTGTATGTCCATAGCGTTGTTGTACGTCGGTGTGAAGGCAGTTGCGTCGGGCTGGGGCACTCTGAGCGAGGAAGGCAAAGTTTCATGCACCCTCCAAGAGGTGGAAGTTCCGGTTCTCAGCAACGAGGAGTGTCGCAAAACAAAGTACACTGCCTCGATGATCACGGACAACATGCTTTGCGCTGGTTACCCTAAAACTGGGCAAAAGGACTCCTGTCAGGTATGACACGTAACGGATTAAAAGTAATGTTTTGACATACATTTTAAATTATTCTGTAAGATATTTAGTCATTATTACTTATTACAACTAGTCTAACTTGCTTGGTAATGTTGCTTCCGATAATATGAGAGAATTACAAATTACAAATGAAATTGAATGTTGCTTCATTTATGTCTTTGAAATTCGTTTTTACAAATTGCGTTTTTCTACTGGTTATTGCTTGAATTCGAATTTTGAACAAACTGTAATTAACAACGAAACCGTGAAGAGAGAGTAGTTTTCCTATCAAATTTTATTTTTTCAGGGCGACAGTGGCGGTCCGCTGATAACAGAGAGGAAGCATGACAAACGCTACGAGTTGATTGGTAATATTTTTGTTTACGTTGCAACAATTTGTCGGCATTCCTTGGCCATATGCAGCAAACACCAGCTTTAATGTAGTAATTGATATACGGAAAAGCTTCTCTGAAGCCAGTTTTATGGATATCGGACGGACACGTGACATCATAGGCTGAGTGACATAAAGAGCGTATTGTCCTCTCTTTCGCACTGCAGTCTAAATCACTTGATGTCTGGCTTACTACGCTTAATTCAACAACTAAGAACGTTGGTAATCGGCTTTATAAGAAACTGGCTAGCGCCCGCTGCGCTTCGCTTCACCTAGAAAAATCTTATGTATAACCGTATATCAATTCAACCTATGGTTCAAAAGATAAAAATTACTGCAACCTGCACCACCTATCCGGCACTAACGTAACTATGTTCATCGGAGTGGTCATGTTGCCCTTTATATGTATCTGTGCTAAGTTTCATATCAATTGGGCTAATGTTTATCGAGTTTTAGGTAATACGAGTACATAAATGCATACCTTCCCTTTTATACAGGGAGGTTTTTCTAAACTTGTTTACATTCTAGACATAAATAATGTTATATAAAAAAATGATAAATATTTAAAATCACTCGTAAGTAGTTAATTACATTCATGTGAACTTATCTCAAAAAGTGCGTGATTTATGGGCAACTAATTTATTTTACGCGCGATCATTCATAACTAACACGAACACAAGTTCGTTTCAAAAGTATACGACGCATTTATGACTACCGCATTGTCAACAAGAATACAATTGCAAATTTTTTGAAAAAAAATTTCAATAAACGATTATACTACCGAGTCTGAACCTCCTGTGTGAATTTGGGCACTTTTAAAAAGCCACTCGGTATATATGTATATAAAAGAGAATAATTTTTTTTAATGATAAATCTACCTTAGATTTATTTTTATATCAAGCATTATAGAACGATATTAAGCGATGCACACGAAGAATTAGGGAGGAAAAATTCGTTTATTTATAGAGTTCGGGCACACGTTATCCTGCCACTCGATTGCGGATTGATGTACTTTACATATCCTCAAAATATTATGGAGATATGCAGGTTTTCGCACGCCATCACAATTATAAATATGTGATGCTATCAGGAATTTTACAGAAAATTTGATTGATGATTTGACACACACTTAATACCTTGGTTACGGATATACAGGTTAGTGAATAATTTAAAACAAAATGGCAGCCATGTATCACGGAATGCTGATAGGAATCCTCCGCCATTTCGTTGTTTTTTTTTTTTAAAAATGGCGGTATAGCTGTTGGTGAATCGTTAATCTATAATATTAATAGTTTTAAGTCCGCTATTTGGGACGTTGACGTGTTGAGACACGTCACGAGAACGAGTTCTTTCAGGTGTGGTGTCGTGGGGCAACGGCTGCGCCAGGGTCGGCTATCCCGGCGTGTACACGAGGGTCACCAACTACATAGACTGGATTAAGGAGAACACGCAAGACGCCTGCTACTGCACGAGCTGAAGTGGCAACCCTAGCTGGTGTAATTCCGACGTCACACTAATTTAAAGCAATATAAATAATATGATAAATGTTCAATCGCAAAATACTTTGTAACAATATCATTTCATTATGTGTCGGTAATTATTTTTATGAAACATTATAATATTTAATTATTGTGGAAACACACATGGAGTGTGTCATGTAACTTTAATTTTTATTTTGTGATATTTCTAAAAAAAATATTTATTGTTTCTATGTATTTCAATGAGATAATTTTTGTACCTATTGTACCAAAAATATCGGTTAGGTATATCAAAATTTTTTTGGAGTTACTATTTGTTATACTATTCGTGGTATTGCCATATTAATACGTACTATTGCCATATTGTATAATTTAGATTATTTGCGGATATTAAAGTTCACAATACGTAAATTAAACATGACTAATGTTTATTTTAATGAATAAAGTACTTTGTCATACATGATACAGTGTTATGTCCTTTCCTTTAGCTACTTATTTGCTCTTGTTCCTTTAAATTAGAACCTGGAACTAAAGGTATAGGGTATAGGATCCCGATATAAAAAGTATCTTCACCGAATGGATGAAACGTATTTTATATTAAATTTAATATGTCAATAGATATATTGCATATGGGTTGTCTAAAAAATTTCAGTCCAGGATATGATTAATTAATAAAGAAAAATAATATATTTTTTGTGTGTACTTGCGAGTGCGCATGCCCTGTTCTTGATAAGTTAATTTTTTTATTAACCAATAACAAAACCGACTTTAAATATCTCGCTCTGTATTCATTTTATAATTGATTTTCCGGAGTTCCCTAAGTATCTCCGGAGCCCATGATCAATACCAATGAAATTATATATAATACGGGACAATATGGGAAGCATCAGCTTTCAAATAAAAAAAGAATCATCATAATCGGTTCACTCGCTCGAAAGTGCTGAGGTAACAAACATAAAAAAATACAGTCGAATTGAGAACCTCCTCCTTTTTGGAAGTCGGTTGAAAATGAAAAAGATAGCGATAGACTCGTTAATAGTTTTTTTTATTCTTTTTAGTCAAAATTTTTCATGATGATTATTTAGACGAAGTATATACTTTGACATAAAAAAAAAAGTTTGAAAAAATTAAAAATAATCTTTGAAAAAAAAAATTAGGTCACAAGTAGGTGCCACATTCAGATTTATAATCAGATTCTGCATATGCTCTGTTAATATGTCCGTCGTCCATAAAATCCCCGTGTATGAGTATATAATATAGCTTTAGTTAATAACAAGGTTATAGTAACACATGTATAATACTAATCTTGCAAAAAATGAAAAACAACAATTAAAAATACAAAAATGTTTTAATTTTTTCAGATTGTTCAGGTTCCGAGTCATCGGACATATACTTCTGAACCTTGTTCGTCATCGCTTACTGTTTCAGTTTTTTCGACAATGTCTTCTTTCCTTAAAGGCATACGATCCTCAATGAATCCTATTGGTTTTACCTAAATATTCATCTAAGAACCAACCGCTGTTCTCAGGCCGAAGTTTGACGCATAATGAATCCGGAATTTACAAAAATAGTTCGTAAATTTTTTTGAGTCAGTCGTATCCAGCGTGGTGGTTTTTTTTCAAAACTGCTCGCTGTCTTCCTGTGCAGAGTATTTTTTCATAAAAATGCGATATCTCGCATCATTCACTTTGGTACTGCAGTTCTTGATGCCATACATAATAGCAGTAAATTCTTGAACGGTCTTCATTTTTTCGTCAATGAAAATATCAGCAGGATCTGTTAACGATGCGAAAACTGTTTGAAATCTTTCATTTTTTGAAAATAGCTCAAATTGTTTTATTTTTCCTTTATTATAAAATGCTGCCGTGTAATCGCAACCTGTAAACGCGTGGAACGCAGCAATATTTCACATTTTAAAAAATTCGACAACCGGAATTAAGGACTGATTTTTTGCAGACAACCCTATACCAACATGTTCGTTATTAAATAACAACCAGACCGGTGCAAGTTACTAGTATCGATTTACCTGTTCATACCTGCCTTCCCGAGAGTTGTGACGGAAAAAAAAGGCATTCTAACGTTTCCATATTCTATGGGCTTTATACTTTCGATTGATATAGAATTTCTCCATTAACCAAATCGGTGAAATATTTAAAACAATATTTTTTTTAATTATTAATTAATCATATCCTGGACTGAAATAGCTTCCATATATTGTTATGCTCCACATGTATGTCTCTATGAATTTCTTCTTGATGTTTGTTAACATTTTCGATTAAATTTTTTTTTTTATGAGACTTCATAGGTATTTTACTTAAAAGAATCTGACTGTTGTAATTATTCACTGTTGAATGTGATTTATGCCATTATTTTAGTTTTTGATGCTGTTTTAGTTCTGTTAATATTTATCATAAGTGAGAATTCTTTTAAAAATGTCATTTAGAAATATTTGAAAAAACTTGAAATAACTAATTGGAACTGGGAATCGAACTGAGGTCATTTGCTTCGAAGACGGGTCGAAAAATCATACGTAGCTTATGAAAAATTAAACTAATTAAAATGAATTATTATTTGAATAGTATAGAAATATTGATATTGTAAAAACATATGATTAAGATCAAGATCATTACAAATCCATGACAAGTATAAATTACGTTTTAATAAGTCCAGTGGGCATCATCGAGTAGTGTAGGAATTCGACATCGTCTTTATTCGTTAGGAGATAAGAATCAAATTGGTGATTATGACAGCTGGGTCATTGATCCCCGAGGTCATTGCCGAACTCGCTCGCCCATATAGCCTCAACGAGACGCCTAAAACGGTGCTTTTCACAAGTAGCTTTTTGTATTAAGCATCCAAACAATTCGCCTGTTTAATCTATCATTCGCACGTACGGCGAAAATTGCACAAAACAATTTGGCGACGATAAATTTCGTGTCGCGTTAACCTGTTTCTTTTTTTTTGCGGGTCTCCTTTTATTCAAGTATAAGTGTTACATTTTAGGGTGCTCAAACTTCATAAGCACGTCGAAAACGAAGATACCACATAGTGTATCAGGATCGGAAAGAAAGAACCCCTATACAGTGATACCGGTAAAATACGAAAGAAAATATTCGCTGGCGGTTTATAATAAATCGTCCACTCCATTTGTTTACGAAAATGAAGACAATATTGTGGTACTCTATTTACTTTGTGTATGTTTCTATCGGTGCCGGCAACACACTGAGCAAGGTAAGTCATTCATCGTCATTTAACGCTATGCTTTCGTGGGTTTGAATAGTTTATCTATTGTGTTTTATTCGCCTTTACTTAAAACGATTAATTTTGAATGATGTGCCTAATTCCCGAAAATCCTTTTTGGTAAATAAACTTGGTATCAATTAAATGTATAAATAAGACTTCTTAAGAAGAATTCAGAATCTTAATGGTTATAAGCCTCTTAAAAATATTATGAGTCAATTTGTTTTTATCATTAAAAGAATTGTCGTGTATTGGAATTTTGTTTGGCATATTTTCTTTGTTTTTGATGGCTGGGGTTATTTTTAGGTAGAGTTAAAAGTTTCGGACACATCCTACGCAGCATCAGACACAATTTCCAAAAGGCAAGAGCTTCCTCCGTGCATGGACTGCAGTAAGTTATTTTTCAAAATAATTGAAACGAGGCTCGCGTACCAACTACACACATAAACATATCGTTTATTTTATCCATTTTTTTATTTGGATACAGTACTGTTTTACTTGCATTCGTTTTACATTTTTGCTTGTATTCGTTTGTGATTCTTTATATTGATTCTTCATATTATTTTTAATTTAATTTTCGTCTATGACGAATCATAGTGAAAAATGGTTAAAGTGGGATGGTTTATAGAGTATTTTTTAATTTTGTGATCTAAAGATAGAGTGGAAAACTACATTAAAATAAAAATTCTAAATAAAAATGTCAAATCAATCGTAAAATTTCCACGTATTATGTATATGCAATGTATAATCGTAAATAGTTATGAGTCGAAAGCAGTGTGACAAAAGGAATTAAGATTTAATTGATATGTAAAAAATATAACGACTTGAAATGTTGTGTGATTTATTATTTTACCAGTATTAATGAGCTGTCAATAAAGAGCAGCTAATTAAAACCGTTCTTAAATGTAAACTTGTCTCATTAAGATGTAAAGCAATATTTATGTTAATAATGACATACTTGTATTTTTTGGTATATCTTCAAAATGTATTCTAAAGTGATCCGCTTATTATAAGTGTAGATATCTACTTTTTGTAACGTTAACAAACAGTCAACTTAAAGTATTGACGAAATTAGTCAGGGTCGTTAAAATTATCAGGTCTAATTTCATGGCCTTCATAAAAGGTCCACGGTAAAACTATTTATAAAATTATGCAGAAACCGTTGGAAATGTATGTTTTGGGAAGCTGAAATCGCCGGCGTAACGCATTTTCCCACTAGAATAATTGATTTAATCTGTTTAAATAATTCACCCCTTCTACGTGTCCTTCTGTAGAGCCGTGATAGTGCAGGGTCCGGAGGCTCACTTTTAATTCAATATACTCGAGTAATCCAAGTACAATCCCCGGTCTCGGCACCGATGAAATTGTTAATTTTAAGTGCTGACTTATCAAGTGCTCAACGGTGAAGGAAAACATCCTGCGGAAACCTGCATATGAAGTTTTATGGAGTAGATATATGAAGTTTGCCAATCCGCAGTGGGGCCACGTGGTGGTCTATGCCCTGATACCCTCTGAGAAGGCATTTGCCCAGCAGTGGAACATGTAAAGGCTGTTATTTTAATTTTCATGTGTCCTTCCATTTGAATTTCTTTTTCAACTCATAACATTCTCATTGTTTTATAAGACTGGTTTTATTATACGAATTTAGGTTTCTTTCTTAGGTTGTGGCGAACGTAACGAAGAACCGAGAGTGGTTGGCGGTTCCGGGTCTAACGTCAACGCATTTCCATGGATCGCCCGTTTGATCTACCACAAGTCATTTGGCTGCGGAGCCTCGCTCATCAACGATAAATATGTTATATCAGCAGCGCACTGCGTTAAAGGGTACAGTCAGAAACCGTTTAAATATCTAGATATATATCCCATAATAATTAGAAATATATCCCAGTAATATGGACATTTAATTTAATTAAATAAAATAAAAAAACCTAGCATCCTATAAATAGGTATTATTTATATTCGGGATCGAAGGAAAAATCGCTAGATGCTACTACTTACAGGCGGAAATGTTGACGATGCACATGAATAATTTATGATGCTTTAAAGAAATTCTTCCTTACATACTGTTTTCACCCTTGATTGCTTAGGTAGACACCGATCAGCTTTATGCTTAGGTTTTTAGTCTTAGATATGAGAGGCTTCTTTATGTGAGAAGCTAGCACACGAGCTGGCGGTTCACCTGGTGTTAAATGATAACCGCACATGCATATCTACAACACTAGCGAGGTTGTAGATGGGTTGCCACCTTTTAAAAATCAAAGGAACGGCTGCCTAACGTACAAAACGGAACGCAGAGGTATAACACTTCCAGTTAACGCTGGAAGTATTATCTGCTTCTATTACTACTTCTATGAGGTTGTGGTACCTCTCCGGACGTGCCTGGTCATTCATACAACATCAGAAGCTGCTATCTGGCTGTATCACAGTGAGAGTTTGGTCAAAGACAACTGTAAAACTAATTCTTATTCGTGAGATCTGAAGAATGGAATCGCATTTATAAATGCTAATGGGATCCGATCCCTCAACCTTGGTTCCCGAGTAGAATAAAAAAATATAGTCACACGCCACTATAGACTAGTTAATATACATTCAGTACACCAAATCAAATCAGGATTTTAGTACAATTTAAACTGTTTCTGTGTTGCGTTTCTATTTATGCGGCTTGTACACAATTAACGAATGAATCTAATTATTATTAATAAAATACAACTTGCGTAGATATACTATGAATTTTTTTACATGTTTTAACATGACCGTTCTTGAGGTGTCCACGAAACAGCTGCTCTATAAGGAGATCTATGTCTACCGATCTGATTTGGCATCCATAAGCATAGTACTTGTCCAGCAAAATTTATCTGTCCAACAATACAATCTAAATAATTCAGGTCAGGATTTTTCCCACTAAACGCTCAAGGGCTTTAATTTATATGTAGCTCAATGTGATCGAATGTTTTAGATTCATGTGGTTTATGTTTCGAGTGACGTTCGGGGAGCATGACCGCTGCGTGATGAAAACGCGGCCCGAGACTCGGTTCGTCCTCAAGATGTACGTCCACAACTTCACATTGACCGATCTTATGAACGACGTTTCGCTGCTGCAACTGAACGAGCCTATGACGTATTCGCACGCGGTCAGGCCCATATGCTTACCAACTAACACAGGTGTGTCTATTAACCAGTTCTTCATATTGTAGACAATGCAGATGATGAAGGGGTTGGCTGTGCTATGACAGACGCTGTTCCGGGGAAGTCACAATAGACCGGCGTGAATTGGTAGTATAACACTTTGACCTTACGTCATTTGATTGAGGTTTCCATTAAGCTCATCGACACTAAAGGTATTTCAGAAGATCGAGACGGCCATCGGGGTCTCGGTCCGCACCTCAACTTCGATGGCCCTTAGATGACATGTCGTAGTTAAACGCACGCATGAGCACATGCGCGGCCCTACCCACAGCGGAGGGCCCAAACCCGTGGGTTCTGGCTAGCCCACCGGTTCTGCGTCAGATGAAGCTTTAATAGTCTCGGGACTGAAAGCAAAAACATCAGTTAATACAAGATACAAGACTCAGAAGATCGCCTTTTCGCGTGCAACTTTCTTATGTACAAATCGATTCACCTGTTGGGAGTGTGTGAATATCGTTAATAAATTTATCCGGTGAAACTTATGAACACATATAAATACTATCAACAAATGGTCTTCTGCGAGATCGTTCTGCGTTCACGGTCGTACGTGTAACAGCAAAGTCGCTGCGTGGCTGTGCCGTAGTAAATTTAATTAAAAAATGTCGTTGATTACCGTGCTGAATTTTCTTTTGTGTCGTTTTTGACGTTTATGACTTGAGTTACGACTTGGATACGGAATGAGAAATTTTTATTAAACGTCTTCGTGCTGAAATTTATACAATCTTAACAAATTATGTCTACATAATAAATAGTTCTTCAATTGGTCACTTAGTGAAAAAGTACAGGTGATGAGTGTAATAAGTAGATGTTTTGGCCGTGATTTATTTATTTAATTAGTTATAGAATGTCAATCCTATAAAAGGAAACTCAAGCACTTCGACCTGGATAAAGTGTTGATATTAAAAAATTCTGTAAAGATGTAAAGATTGTTAATAAAGTTGTAACTGATTTTATTACGGTCAAATGATCGTATATGGAACACGTATATTTTCATTAGCTCTCATTTTTTATTTGAATTGGAGAAAACGATTATCACATAATATTTTTGCACAAACGTGCTTTTTGATTACGTAGTTCATAGGAATTATTTAAAGTCAAATGAACGTATTAAGTTTTTATGTGTGGGTTAGCTAATCTCTTAGGACTATTTTACGAAGAAGGATGCGCGGTATACTGGTTGTTGTTTTTATGACCTTAATCTTTTAAAAATAACGTATTATTATGCATCGTGGCGTCTTTATAAAAGCTGATTTAGTTATAAATTTTATTTTTAAAACACTTATTGCACAACTATTAAGGCGAACCCCGATTTGAATTTATGATACAGTGAATTTGGAATTTTATATCTGCGTTATCGGATCGTGTTTTACTTAGCAAAAGTTTTTTTAATCTCAACATACGTTTCGTATAATTATGTATGCTGCGACCCTTGTGCTTTGTTTAATACAAATACGTTTTGAAGGTTTAGTTTATGTTTTTTCGAGTATTAATTTTTTTTTATCAGGTAATTTTACAAACAAGTAGCCTATAGAGCCTATGCGGCCTGTGCAGTCAATAGATAGCAGATATCTACACCCGTGGAGTTGAAATTGCAGTTATTTCACTTCACGCCTGCCTATGAGGCCTTAGTACTGCTGCGGACTCTCATGCAATGCAGGGGTTGCTGTTTTTATGAAGGTGATAATAGCATATCGCTCTTTGCAGATAATCTGTATTATAAGACATTGGCGACCGTTGCCGGCTGGGGCGCTAAAGCCGAAACGGGGAACTGGTCGTGCACACTACTTGAGGCGCAACTTCCCGTACTAAGCAACGAGGAGTGCAGAAATACGAACTACAACGAGTCGAAGATCAGGGACGTTATGATGTGCGCTGGATATCCGGCGACGGCACATAAAGACGCTTGCACTGTTAGTTTTTATTTATCTCTTTCTTTTTTGCTAAAAATAAATTATTATTACAAACGTGCAGAGGCTCTCTTATTATTCTACGAAAACAAAGAAATGGATGTCAATCGAGTAACAATTATTAAGGCAAATGAATTTTTATTGACTTCATCATTCATCTAAACATGCTTAGTGGAGTTAAATGAGGCTTTTTTCTCCAACATATTTAAATATGGTACAGCGTTTCTAAGACTTAATTAAGCAAAGGTCACCCTTTCAGCGTGTACGGCAGAGACTTAAGTGCAAATGGATCGTACCTGGAACTTGGACTAAAACAAAAATCGTCATCCCAGAAGCTTCATCGCGCGTTCTTACGTACACTGAGTTAATTTATAAGAAGCATATAAACTCTAGTACTTGTTAATTCGTAACGGTTTTTTTCCGTGAAAATGTCATTTGTTTCTAAAGGTCAATGCGTTATACGACTACATAATGTACTGATACACGTGTAACATAATTTACAGTCGGCTATAAATTTTTAGTTGACGTTACAGTTCAATAAAGCGTGAGTTATTTCACCAACCTTTTATTCCTTCAGAGGATTCGTATTGGATTACAGAATACGATTTTCTACTTTATAAATATATTTGAAAAAATAGTTTACGTACGTTTGTTGATGACTCCGTGGTGCAGTTGCCAAGAAATTGGCTTCGGCGTCGGGGGTTGTGGATTCGATTCCCAGACGGGACAACTATTTGTGTGACCCACTGATAGTTGTTTCGCATCTGGGTGTTTGTCCACATGAAATGTCTGTTTGTAAAACGTCCTTACAACACAGGATAATGTTATCCTAAAGTAAGGGCAATGTTTAAAAAAAAATAAAGACTTAATTATGAAAAAGAATTATTATTGTTCTAAAGGATAATGTTATACTAAAGTAAGAGCAATTTTTTTTAAAAAAGACAAAAAAGAATTAATTATGAAAAATAATTATTATTGTTCTAAAGGATAATGTTATCCTAAAGTAAGAGCAATTTTTTTAAAAAAGACAAAAAAGAATTAATTATGAAAAAGAATTATCGTTATTCTAAAATGCTTTCTTATTTCGCAGGGTGATAGCGGAGGTCCGTTAGTAGCTGAGAATGACGAACACGCGTATGAACTAATAGGTAAAACCATCTTTGCGATTTTTGATTTTGTATATCTATCTAGATTTTAGTGGACCATTTTCATCAACAAAATCGTCATAATAGCCAGTTTTTCCGTCCGCTACTAAGCCCTGACACCTGTAATAACTTAAATCTGTAAGAAGTAAATACCGCATTAGAAAATTTTAAAACAATGTAATGCATTTACTCGAGTACAGCACAAACATTCAAGGAACTTGACTAGTATTCTTTCTGATGATTGTGTAAAATTTTCTGCGGTTGTAAAAAATTTGCGCACGTGTGCACGGCTTAAAAAGTTTTAATGCTTTACTGTGAAGAAATTGAGATGATTTTTCCTTTCTTATACGACACCATGTTGTTTGAACATCGAAAACGTACAAAAATACTTGTTAACGCCAATTTCTGCCTTCAATATTGGAAGTTCACACTGTCACCTGTACCGGAAATCCTTGATCAAAGCTTACCTTACCAATTGGTAATTAGGACGTCCAGGTCAGGACACGATACAACTATCGATCATCCACGGGCGGATTTACAAATTTGCCGCCAATAGGCTGTTCAATTTTGGCCGCCCCTATTGGCCTCTGAAATTCGATACCCTAGTTCGCAATCATGTTAATTACATTTATTCTGTCAATAATTATATAATTTGTGCTCTATCGTCTTCATTATATGAGTTTTTTATCGTTATTAGCAAGATTTTGAACTAGGGTTTAAGTTTGAAGATTATTTTTACAACTGAGCGTTTAGTGAAGATTACACGAAAAATAGTTTTTGAGTATAATCTATAGAGAGTTAAGAAAAGCTCAATCATGTTCTAATTATAAGACGGGGTAAAGTATGCCTCAAAATTACTTATACCAATATATGAAAACAGCTAACTCAAAATAATGTATATTTAGTAAACCAAGATATGAAAGACTCGCATTACGTTAAATAATCAAGACTCGTTTTCTCTTTGTATTTTTCTCTATTATTATTTTTTTTATTTTTGTAAGACAAAAATTTTTGCTCCAAATTAGCCGCCCCTAAAATCTGCCGCCCAAGGCTTCAGTCTACTTAGCCTGCTGGTAAGTGCTCACAGAAGACCGGCGTGATATGCAAGTTTTATACTGAAACGAAGTGGCGTTTCGTCTTGTGAGTGAGGTAGCTGGGGCCCACTTTATTAAAAGGTGGCAACGCATTTATAATCCTACCTGTGTTGCAAATGTTTATGGGCGACGGTTGTCTCATACCATCAGGTGAACTGGCAGTTCTCATCTTAACTTTTAACGAATTTACTAAAACATAGTAATTAGAAGTGCATAGTTTTTCAATCTTCTCCACACTCATTAAATAGAAAAAATGGTATGCACCCATCCAGAGCATATGCTCTGGACAGCAGATCATCTTTTGTGAACATGTGAATGTACTAAGTACTTGATATTTGTAATATGTTATTCCATCGTGTATTATTTTCAGGAATTGTATCGTGGGGCTATGGGTGTGCAAGGAAGGGCTTTCCAGGAGTTTACACAAGGCTTAATATGTATTTGGATTGGATCAAAGACAACACTCAAGACGCGTGTTACTGCGCGTATTGAACTTACAGAGACACTCAATAGTGTTCAATCATAATTATAAGTTGTTTTTCAAGCAATCTGATAAAATTTTAGTGATACCTAATGCTTTATTAAACCTCGCTTTTACGCATATACCTATAAAAGTTACCTATCCTAAATAGTTTCACATTAAATTAAGCTTTAACAAATGAGTTTTATTGGAAATCATCCAACTTTACGATGGCTTTATAACATACATTTTTCTTATTAATAAAAATGTATGTTATAAATGTTAGAATGTATGGTAATGTTTTTATGTTTTTCCCAATGCGTGCTAAAGAAATTAACATGATTGTGATGAAACTTAGTGAGTTGCAAAAAAATTCTGTTAATTGTAGATAAGTTTTTCCTCTATGTAAATACTAGAGTAACTGTAATTACTCTTTTTATATACACGGAATTGCAAAGCATGACGAATACAGTTAGTTTAAGATAAATTTCACCACAGCAAAATATGCCTAATAAATTAAAATACATCAGTCAAACATCCGTTTAAAATTTTTATAATTTCCCACTTAACAAATAAAGTTTTATTGGAACTAGTTAATAGATACTTAGAAAGTTAGACAGTAATTAGCAAATTAACGAATTTAATATGAGTTACGATCGAATTGGATGTCTCTGAGGGCGGTTAGTTTTATCAGCGATTACATATCCTCGAATGCGGAGGCCGACTAAGGAACACAAGTATTTAAATATCATGGGCGTTTAGATACTGAGGTTATAAATGTACAGCTAACCTCAGGTTACTTGAATCGTGTTTGCGGGGATGGCAAAGGTAACTGCGATGAAGTCGACACAGATGACAGGTTTGTACTGGTATACAGTAAGATAGATACAAAGATATAGGAGCCTACACGCCGTGAAGCACACGGCGGGAGCATCGTCCTCATTCCCGTCCGCCGATCCCGGTTGGATTGCACATAGATCGCGTTTTAGAATACTAGGATCCGCTTAAGGCATAATTTAAAATATTTTCGAGTACCGAAGCCGCCAGAAACTCTTACGTTATATGTTTAAAATGTGGAAACTACCGTTTGTTGTTGTCCTGTGCGCTTTTTTGAATATATCCGACGTAAGTATATACAGTAGCTATTCGGTTTTATTTGAACGACTTTAGTTCAATATTGTTTTACTTTAGAATACACATGTAATTCTTTATGATTTTTTTCGATTTCTCCCTTTTTGTTTATTAATGTTTTAATTGAAATACGCTTATTTTTATTTCGATATTTATTTCTCACCAAACTGTCTAAAGTTTTAAGAGTAGACTTGTTTCGATTATAACCAAAATACGTGTAATAAAAATGAGATATCTCGATATTTATTTAATTTTGAAGCAACTTAGGACAGGTATGTCACGAACTGGTTTTCTAAATCGCTGTATTAATAAAGGTAAAAGCAGAGGACCCTGCAAGGACGACCGAAATCGACCGATACGGCGAGATATATGGATGCAATTGCCGTGAGTATTTTATTGCATTCTTTAATTCATTTTTCTTCATTTGTAAGTTTTATTATTCGGATGCGTATTTTTTTTTTCAAAAACGGATTTTGCGGTCACGCACACAATGGCATGTGAATATGTGTGTGTGAGTGTAAGATGAGTTTGATTCAATTAGGTAATGTGATTATTAAAAAGCGTCTCGATGCTTTTGAGATACGGTTATGGAGGCGCAAGCTTCATGTAAGCTAAATACTGGAAGTCAGCATAAATACAGTTCCCCAGAGTTTAAGTAAGATCCAGAATATTTATGTTCATAAATAATAATATTGATTTATAAAAAATAAAAAAGAAAAGAAAAAAACCATCGAAGTTAAAAGATTAATTAATATTGGACACGTGTTTCGATACTACAGATGTAATCTGCTTCGGTTAGTTATGATAAGCAAAGTTGTTGGCAAAAGTCGAGCTAGACGTTGCAGAAAGTAATCGCCGCGGAACATTCGAGAAAGAGACATATTTGTAGAACAGACGAATCACTTCAAGAGGCAGACTGTCAGTATATTGCACATTTTTTTACAATATGTTCTTGTTTAAGGTTGTGGGGAGCGCAATGAGGCATCGCGAATCGTCGGCGGGGTTGAGACGAATGTCAACGAATTCCCGTGGGTGGCTCGCCTCACCTACTTCAACAAGTTCTATTGTGGCGGCATGCTGATAAATGACAGATATGTCCTAACCGCGGCACATTGCGTTAAAGGGTTTGTCTAACTGTTTTCCTATTGCTTTCCCAATTATTATTTTCACATTACATGTGTCATGTGGGTACATGTGTGCATTTTCTATATTTGTATCAAATATTATTTACAATTAAATACAACTGCTAATTCAGCAATTAACTAATAAAATATATGCCATGAACCTAAGAATGCTAATTACATTTCCTCTTGGAACAGTTATACTTATCCTTTAAGCGAAAAAATGGAAAGGGCTGCTTAGTCTCACGTTGCGTCAATAAAACGAGATAAATATTCAGTTTAGGTGGATTATAGTTTGTGCCTACAGGCAAACGTTTTTTTCCATGGCCATAACATAAAAACACAATATATTACTGACATTTTCACTCGTTCCACATTATAATTAACCCAATAATATATCCAATAATTATTATTTATCCATAATAATCAGACCTATGTTATAAAAATCTAACATGCCCCTTTAATACTGTACCGAGTGTAAAAGAAAGAAAGGACTTGACAAGTGCCTGAAAAGCACACTATGATATTTAGGTAGTACGTATAAAATATACTTGTTTCATACAAAAGAGGAACTAGAATTAAATTGAAACAATATCGTGGGTATTGGAATTTATAAGGTGTGTCATACGCCTTTTTTAAAGTCAAATTAGAAATATATTTATTTAGTTTTACTATTAATAAGGTATTACTGGGGTTTCCCAGGAGTAAAGAGACAAGTCAATGAAAATTTTTTTTAATTAAAAAGTTGTATGTCAAATGTTATGTGCGTCATTATAAATTATGCATAATAATAATAAAAATACAATCTATATCAAATTTGCTCCTGCGATGCCTTTATAGACGATTTTTCACAAATTAATGCTTGCACGTCTCATGACTGCTTTTCCAGAAGTTGTTGCCACCCATTTGGCCAATCTAGCCCATCTTTGTTTGAAAGATGTCAACGTTTTTGATTTTTCTGAATACTTTTACAGACTTACTTACACAGAGCCCAAAAATTTGGATACCTCGATCTTGACGAACATTTGGAGAATTGTTTTTTTTTTTCGATATAAATTCGACGCCCATAGATTGCAAATATTGAGTGACTCCAGACTCGTAATGACACGAAGCCATATCCCAAATTTAGCCTTTGTTTTAACGTTTTCGCTGTAATCTACCCACGACTGGTAGCGTGGAAATATTGCTTCTCAGGAATAACAGAGGGGTCAACCGGTACATAAATTTCATCATCAATTATGAGAATTTTTTTCAATTTTTTTTGGTAAATTCGACGGCAACCTCGCTAGCACGCACTTCTTGGTCTTTCACGTACTTTGGAGCGGACAATTTCACAAAAGCCTTCATGCCCAGATCTTGAACTTTAGTTCTGGATATGCTTGACTTAGATTTTTTCAATTTTTCCGCCGCAGTCCTCACAGATGTTGAAGGTGCTTCTTTAACAACCTTTTTTACTTTATCTATGTTTCGATCAGTTGCTATGGTACGTTGTCTCCCGGAATCTTCTTAATACAGTCTCTTCTGATTCTTCATACCGTTTAAGTAACCTGTAGATTTTTTTATGTGATAAAGTGGCAAACGAGTTGGCGGTTTACCTGATGTTAAGTATTAACCGCCGCCCATAGAAATTAAATTATACATAGAAATTTAAAAAACACCCGTAGTGTTGCAAGTGCGTTGCCACCTTTAAATTAAGTGAGCTCCGGCTACCTCACTCACCAGACGAAACGCAGAAGTATAATACTTCTATTTTACGCCGGTCTTCTGTGAGGTCGTGGTAACTACCCGGACGGACCTGCCCATTCGTGCAACAGTGTTGCGTGGCCCTACCACAGTTAAATACTTGTTCTTGAGAAAATTAACGAACTGCCTCGGATTTATTCAAATATTGAATTACTCTTTTTACTCACAATTCTCGTTCGGTTCGCTTTATGTTAGAAAAACATCGACAATATTTGCAAAACCACGCGAATTTGACAGATTTCTTACCAGTGTTACCAAGGCAACAATTATTTTCTTTTTTGAAAACCTTTTTCGTGGCCGATATGAAAACTCAGTCTGTCTCTTTACTTATGGGACATCCTTTATTAACATAAGTTATTATTAAGGTACTGCCCACAGAAAATCGGGCATTAATATTTGCGGTATTGTTATTATATAGTTATATTTATATTACGAGCTGAGTTTGTTCTCAACGACAACTTGCTCCATCGCGATAAAACATTAATAAAAATCGGCCGAGTGCGAGTCGGACTCTCGCTCGAGTTCCGTGTCATTATCTATAAAAATGGCAAAAAAATCATGTCTGTTGTATCGGAGCCCCCCTTTAATATGTTATTGTTGTTCAGTCTTTCAGTATTTCTTGTTAAAGCTACAACAGAAATACATCATCTCTGACAATTTCAACTGCCTAACTATGACGGTTCATGAGATACAGCCTGGTGACAGACGGACAGAAAGACAGCGGAGTCTAAGCAATAGGGTCCCGTTTTTCTTTGGGTACGGATACCTAAAAATTATACAGAGTTGTAATAGGGCATTATTATACTCCCTAGTGAGGTTGGGTTATACCGTCCGTCGAAGACAGATTTTGTGTTAGAGAACATACACCTAAAGTCATTACAGACATCATCATCCTCCTCCTGCCGTTTTCCCACCTAGATGGGGTCCTAGATGGGAATGTTGTTAGCGGTTTTGGCTATGTGTTTACAACCTACCGTCTGCCTGAAGCCAACTCTTCATGGGAAACAAACACCCAAATCAAGGACAATTATCCGTGGGTCAAACAAATATTTGTCCCGTGTGGGAAACGATCCCACGACCTCCGATGCCGAGGCCATTTGCTTAGAAATGGCGGCACGAAAATATACAAAAGATATGGGTCGCTTAGGGTCGTTTGCGTGTGGATAGGTATTTCGAAACTAGTATACATATAAAACTTCCTCTTAAATCACTATCTAGGGAAAAAAAACCGCATCAAGATCCGACGGCGTGACGACTTTGTTTTATACTATGTAGTGATGTTATGTTTAACGTTTCAGCTTGATGTGGTTCATGATCAAAGTGACACTGGGCGAGCATAACCGTTGCAACAGAACGCATCGTCCCGAGACCAGGTTTGTGGTGGAGGTTGTCTCCCACAACTTCACGTACGTCACGTTCAGAGACGACATCGCCCTTCTAAGGCAATCTGACAAGGTCACGATCACGGACACGATCAAGCCGGTCTGCTTGCCTCACAATGACGGTAAGCAAAATTAGTTGAAATTATACATTTGTCTAATATGAACAACAAAAAAATATTTCGAAGATATATGAAGTCCGCAAATCCGCCGTGGGTTCGCGTGGTATATGCCTTAATAGATTCGGTACAGCGGAGGCGTTTACCCAGCCGTGGTATATGATTTTTTTTAAACTTGATATAAATTTACAATCATCATGATTTTACAGACTCGCAGTTAACTTTAGTTCTATTCATTTCAACTGTAGCTATTATATAGCATTTTATCGCAGAAACATTCAATGTGGTTCTTTAAGTTGATATAACTTTTTTATTTATGAACCGATTTAAATAAACACTAAATGTTGAGTGAAGTTTACTAAAATGCATTAGTGAAAGTTTTACCCAAATCGGTTAAGCCGTTTTTGCGATTAATGCGCAGAAACGCACAGACAAAAAATAAACAGAAAACATTTTAATCATTGTTTTGGGTTCTACTGCGTTGATAAAGGCCCCGAATAACAGTTTTTCTCAAATATCTGCCACGTAGAGACATTAATCACTTACATTGTTATTATATGTATAGATAATACGTACGAAGGCGTAAAGGCTATTGCAGTGGGCTGGGGTTCCATAGGCGAACAGAAAAACCACTCCTGCTACCTTCTCGACGTCGAATTGCCGATACTTAGTAACGAGGATTGCAAAAACACCAAATATGAGACGGCCATGATTGCAGACAGCATGCTTTGCGCCGGATATCCGGAAACAGGGAGCAAGGATACCTGTCAGGTATTAAAGCGTCAAATTATGTTAACTACAGTTAATATATCAATCATATTTTGAGAATAAAAATGCCAACCATGGCATTTTTTTAAGAGCTCAAGTTTTTTCTTTATTGGATCTTTCAGTGATACAAAATGCTTAAATAACATAAATTACAAACACATATTTTTACTTCACGAGCACGTATTACCGTTTCCAATATTTAAAATAAAACTTTGAATATCCTTACTAATCCTTACTAATATTATAAACGCGAAAGTTTGTATGTATGAATGGATGTTTGTTACTCTTTCACGCAAATAGTACTGAATGGATTTTAATGAAACTTTACAATAATATAGCTTATACATCAGAATAACACATTTATATACATACATATTTATATAGTTCTATGTATACTGTCTTTCTGTCTGAATGTTACGCCTTCAGCCTATTCTACGCAGACGTAGTCACGGGCAGCAGCTAGTATGTATATATAGCGACAATGCAAAAACAATGCCTCAACGATTGCACCACATGCATAAATACTTATGACATTCAAACAAAATATTTTTTTTATTTTATGTCGAATTACCAAATAGGACTTTTGTAGCCAGTAAGACCAAGGGTAAAGAACAACTTTCGTAAATTTAGATAAATCAGGTTCAAAAATCATTTGTATCAAATTTATTAATGGGCCTTTTATCTTATCCTTTAAACGAGCAATTCTTGTATATATATATATATATATAATCGGAATCTCGGAAACGGCTCCAGCGATTTTCATGAAATTTAGTATGTGCATAGATTCGGGGGCGAAAAATCGATCTAGCTAGGTTTCATTTTTAGAAAATGTCCTTTTATCCCTGTTTTCAGGGAATGAAAAATATAATTCGAATATGACGGTAAATTTCGCCGCAAGAGAAAATGTCAAAATAGCTCGGTCGGTAATCGGGCGGCCCCAAAACAGACGGCCGTGGTTCGCGTCACGATCATTTACACATTTATTCTTTTACTTTTTTTTCGATTCCAGATCATTGCTTTCTTTATTTTTAATTTTTTGTTGATTTGTTATTTTGTTATTTTTTTCCCTTTTTTTTAAAATTCTTTCTTTTGTGAAAAACATCAGTTCATATTTTATTATTATTACGTCGGTAAGATCGAAAAATATTATGCATATTTCATTGCTCAGTAATTTGTATCTAAATGTAATTTCCAAAATACACGATTTACCAAAAAAAAAAAAAAAAACCGAGCAAAGCTCGGTCCTCCGGGTACTATATTAGTATATTAACGAAGACGTTTATACGTCTTTCCGAGTCCTAAGTTGCCTAGGCCTTATTTACTCGTATACTAAAATGTAAGAAAAATTACTCTTGGGCAACTCAGACAAAAGTTATTAAAAACTTTTAAAAATAGTGTAGATAATTTATGAAATTACGCTAACTGTTTTAAGATAAAAGAACAAAACACAGGCCAAAATAAGTAATTTATTAAATTAATTTAGACACGTTTTATTTTAATGAGATAACACTCATGAAACCAAAAATGGAATGAGAAAAAAATTCTTTCTTGCTATTATAAAATAATGACTAGATTAATTAATTCATTCAAAATTGAGAAAAGTTTATTAAGTATGTCATCATACTTTTTGTTGAAGAATTTCATGTTTGAGTTTAGTTTTGCGGTGGAAGCTCATGCTCATGTAGAGAGACCCCCTACAGAGCTTCCACCGCAAAGGCTGAACAGTCGGATTTTTTTTTAATTTATGTCGACCCCCTAATAACCGAGCCCTCTCAAGCTAGATGAAGCATGTGGCGTGCTCAAAGCCGCTTCCTGATCCCTTTTTCCATCTTTCTGAGATCCTTCCGGCTGGTCATAGACTACCATGGCCAACCTGCAAGTCTTTAAATAGACTTCGGACTCAGGTTGGCCGAAGAAAGAAAAATATGTTCACTCTCAGAAAACTCAAACGTGGACTGTATTTGTGGAGTCCATGGCTTATCTAATGTCCTGTCCAGCCTGCCCTTTTACTTGTTCGCAGCAGGATTTGATGAATCCCTAAAATTGTGCTATCGAAGTGGCTAAGTCCTGGCCCGGAAAGATAAGATTTGTCATCGACACGTAAAGATGATATAGGTTATAATAGATGCGCCAAACATTGCTTGAAATGCAAAAAAAAAATCAATGACTATTTATAGGACGTTAAGATTTTCGTTGGTGTAGCAATCAGCCGTTTAGCTTAGTGGTTAAAAGCATCTGGGCGTGAATCTGGAAGACGTGGGTTTCATTCCCGTAGCGGGGAAAAACTTTTCGTCTTTTTTTCTACAAATTTTAATATTTCATCTTGAAATTTTGATTGCACTATTATGATTAAAATTTTTGGTCTTTGTTTGTATAGGGCGACAGTGGTGGACCTTTAACGGCTGAGAGGGGTGATAAGCGATACGAATTACTAGGTAAGTCAAGTAATCGTCTAAATAACAAATCATCTTCGCGATTCATCTATTGGGTTGGCAACTAAGTAATAGCCGACTCCTTAAATGAAATAAAATATTTTTTACTTTAAATGAAGTTTAATCTATAATGTATTTTCCATTTTCTTCGATAACGTTTTACTATTTTCCTGACAACTTGAAAATTCTACACTCGTAGAAAGTCTGATCTTTTACAGCCAAAAACTGAGTTAAGTGACATTTTCCAGTGTCATCATCATTGAATGGGAGTTGCCTAGGGATCGATTGTTGTAATCCGATGGCGCTAGATCAGAGCTATATAATTGGTGTAACATCAATTCCCAACATTTAACAACTTTGATTCGAAAATAATACAGCAAAATATGGCGAAAATATTCATTTTTGTACTCCATATTAATATTAAGGTAAAAAACAACTTTAAGAAAATATCTACGCAATGAACTTGTAAAGCTAGGTAAGAATGCAGCTAATATATATAAGAAGAAGATCATAACATTTACGGATATCATAAAAATGGGAGTGAGAGACATCTATAACTGAAATCCACAATCATTTAGTTGACAACCTTTTATTTTACACCGGATTTTCAGAGAACCAATAAACACCTTCAAATACTAGTGATTTGGATGTACTTCTGAAGGTTGACCTAAGGAATGCTTTTAACTCCTTTGACAGAACGACGCTGCTGAACGAAGTGGCTAACCATACACCAGAAATATATCACTATGTTTGGCAATGTTACAGTGAAAAGAGTAATTTATTTTATGAAGACAATATTATTGATTCCGCTGTCGGCGTTCAGCAGGGAGATCCGCTAGGACCAGCATTATTTAGTTGGGGAATTCATCCAATTATTTCAAAATTGAAATCTAAACTTAATGTCTGGTACCTAGACGATGGTACGCTGGGAGGTAAAGTTGACGTTGTACAAAGTGATCTTATCGAAATTATTAGACAATTTAAAAATATCGGTCTCGATTTAAATAATTCCAAATGCGAACTTTTCTTTTCCGAAAAGATTTCTTTTTCCGACAAAATCATTTTGACCCAAAATTTTAGCTCTATCATACCGGGAATTAACGTAGTCCGTTCAGATTCACTTTACCTCTTAGGTGCTCCTTTGTTGATACCAAGTTTGGAACCTCATTTAAAATTAAAGTTAAATCAATTTTTAGATCATGTTTACTAAATTCGCATATTGCGCTTACTATTTTGCGACATTGTATTCTTGTACCTAAATTTACATACCTCCTTCGCTCGAGTCCAGTTTGGAAATGCGGTAACTTTTTGAACGAAATTGATTTCCATCTTAAATCAGCTCTAGAAAAAATTCTAAATTTATCTCTTAATGAATTAAGCTGGACTCAAGCTACGCTGCCAATTCGTTTTGGTGGTATCAGTGTAAGGAAAATTTCTAGTGTCGCTCTACCTGCCTTCCTTGCTTCCGTGCATAGCGTAAATATTTTATGTAATAACATCCTTAATCACGATTCAGAACTTTCCTTTGCAGAGGAGGCAAGGATGTCTTGGCTGTCTATCTGCCCCAACGAAAATATCCCACTGGAAGTAAACCTACAAAAACAGTGCGATGTTCCTTTGGTGCGGAGAGTACAGAGAGATACGTTTCAATCTCTAGAAAGTAATTTAGAGCGTGCCCGTTTCCTAGGCGTCTCATCTAAAGAATCGAGTTATTGGCTTCACGCTTTACCATCAAGTAACTTGGGCACATTACTTGACGATGAAAGCTTACGCATTGCTATAGGAATCTGTCTGGGGGCACCGATTTGTCAACCACAGTCAGTGTAGACAAATTTGGTCTCCACGGGCTTTCTTGTCAAAAAAGTGCTGGCCGTTTTTCCCGCCACGGTTCCCTGAACGACATCATCCGTAGGGCTGTTGTTTCCATCAATGTTCCATCTATTTTAGAGCCCTGTGGCATTTTTCGCGACGATGGTAAGAGACCCGACGGTTTAACATTGATCCGTTGGGAGAGAGGCAAAGCCCTTGTTTGGGACGTCACTTGTGTAGACACTTTGGCTGCCTCTCATCTAAGGGGTACTTCAGTCAGGGCCGGGGCGGCATCGGAGACAGCTGAAGTAAGTAAATGGCGCAAATATGAGTCTTTATATTTAGATTATGTATTTGTGCCATTTGCTGTTGAAACGTTAGGTCCGTGCGGTCCCCGCACATCAAAATTTTTTAAAAGTTTATGGCCTAGGCTTAACGCCTCGGCTGGTGACAACAGAGCTGGTTCTTTTCTCGCTCAAAGATTAAGCATAACTATTCAGCGAGGAAATGCAGCTTTCTTGGCACCATACCGCGTGGATTAGGTTTATTAGATAATATGTAATTTTAGATAGATTTAATCTTGTAAATATTAGATCCATAAACATGACAAAACAATAATAATAATCATAAGCTTTTCGCACCGATTGAAAATGAGTTTTTGCAAATTTCGACTTTTTAAGTTCAACTAAAACGTGTGAGTTTACTGGTAAAATGAATTACTGGACGAGACCAGAGAAGAACCTGCTAGAGAAGAAATCCATATATATACATACATATCAAAATCAAAATCAAAATCAAATGTATTTATTCAACATAGGAGCATTACACTCACTTATTGATAGTCATAACACTACCACCGGTTCGGAAAAGAAAGCCACTGTACTGAGAAGAACCGGCGAAAGAAACTCAGCGGCCTTTTTTTTTTTTTTTAAATAAGCAGTTTGACATAAATTCGTTAAAATACAATATAAGAACTCCGACTGAAAGAGCCTGGAGCGATCAGTTCATTACCAGAGTGTGTTATCATTTTTAATAATCATTAATATTATAGTAGCCTTTAACACACAAACGTTCTTTTACTATTTTTTTAAATTTAGCTATTGATGCATTTTGAACGTTTTCTGGAATTTTGTTGTAATAACGTATACATTGTCCCATAAAAGATTTACTTATTTTACGGAGTCTACTTGTGGGTAGGATCAATTTATTTTTGTTCCTAGTATTTATCATGAACATTATTATGTCTTAAAAATTTATCCTTATTTTTATGGACATACAAAACATTTTCAAAAATGTATTGAGCAGCAACAGTCAATACCTTTATCTCTTTAAACAAGTTTCTTAACGATTCTTTGGGGCCCAGATTGTAAACTGCACGAATAGCTCTCTTTTGTTATATATATATATATATATATACATAATAGTATATATATATATATATATATATATATATATAGAATATACGAAATTAGTTTGATTTAAATTTAATCACATAGATACTAATGATATTATAAAAGTTTTGAATTCTATTAATCTTAAAAATACAGGAGATTTGTGGGGCATGTTCATAAAATTAATGAGTACAATAATATATATATACCGTATATTGCACCATATTTGGCAAATATTTTTAACAAATGTTAAAACATTATGAAATTCAGTAAGATAATCCCCGTTTTCAAAAGTGGGGATAAAAATGATCCAGGAAATTACAGACCTATCTCCATATTGCCATCTCTGAGTAAAATTTTTGAAAAACTAATTTTAAATCAACTCTTAGTACATTTTAATATGAACAAAATTTTCCACAATGAGCAATATGGATTCACTAAAGGCAGATCGACAACGGATGCGGGTGTCAAGCATATTTATAACGCCTGGGAAAGGTCACAAGATGCAATAGGTGTCTTTTGCGACCTTTCATAGGCTTTCGACTGTGTAGACCACGAAACCCTCCTTCAAAAGTTAGATTATTATGGCATTCGTGACATCGCCCTCAATCTCATTGCCTCTTACCTTAATAATAGAATTCAAAAAGTATCTATAAATGATGTAAATTCCACAGGGTCCCCCATGAAAATGGGTGTCCCACAAGGATCAATCTTGGGTCCATTATTATTCTTAGTGTATATAAATGATCTCCCCTTTTATGCCAGTGAGTTATGTGATATTGTACTGTTTGCTGACGACACATCGCTCATTTTTAAGGTTGACCGAAACGTGTCGGATTATGACGACGTGAATAGTGCACTTTCGCGTATCCTCCACTGGTTTACCGTTAATAATATGGTATTAAATGCTAAAAAACTAAATGCCTTCTTTTTTTTACCCTTCCCAGCGTAAAGGCGAAGTTTTAGCTTAACATTAAATAGCGTAACCCTTAATCCTGTTGAGTCCGCTGTATTCTTGGGTATTACAGTGGATTCAAAGCTCCAATGGAGTCCCCATCTATCATCTCTTGCGAACAGGTTAAGCTCCGCTGTTTTTGCAGTTAGGAAGGTTAGGCAGCTATCAGACATCGACACTGCCAGACTTGTTTATTTCAGTTATTTCCACAGCATCTTGTCTTACGGCATTTTGTTGTGGGGTAGTGCATCTGATATAAATTCTATATTTATTCTTCAAAAAAGAGCTGTCCGAGCAATCTATAACATCGGAGCCCGGAATACACTCAGAGACCTTTTTAAAGAGATTAATATACTCACTGTTGCGTCTCAATATATTTATTGTAATATTTTGTATGTTAAAAATAATATTAATAGTTATCTAAAGAATAGTGACAGACATAAACTAAATACTAGAAATAAGGACAAACTAACTACGCCATTGTTTCGTTTACAAAAAGTATACAGGTCGTTCATGGGGCAAGGTGTGCGCATGTATAATAAAATCCCACAGTCGATATTAAGTCTGCCACTTGATGAATTTAAACGAAAAATTAAAAGTAAACTTATGGCTAAAGCCTATTATTCTATTGCTGAATATCTTGACGACGCCAATGTGTGGGGTTAATACTGTTGATACTCACGTAGGCTAAAACAAGACTATTGTACATGTACTATTATATTGTAAACTGATTTTTTTTAAAAAAGAGCAACTGTTGAGTTTCTTGCCGGTTTCTTCTCAACAGAAACTGCTTTCCGAACCGGTGGTAACTTACGAACGTGTTCATTTCTTGTAAAATTTTGACGTTT